CACAGGAGTGACCCTTGTGACATCCAGACATGTCATCCACAGGAGTGACCCTTGTGACACTCGGACATGTCACTTACAAGAGCGACCCTTGTGACACCCAGACATGTCATTCACAGGAGTGACCCTAGTAACTCTAAGACATGTCACCTACAGGATTGACCTTTGTTAAGCGTACCTATTAACAATCAATTATGTGAAAGCTATTGCATTTCTAAGTGTATGTTTTGTATTGTTACTGTTCCAACGCCATAAAATAAATTTGAAGTTAGAAATGTGAAATTACAGAGTTATATTTGTCTACAAAAACAGTCACTTGCAAAGTATACGAATGGGTATCATAGACTGATCCCATCCCTCAAAGGGACTTCCCGTGGACCCCATAGAGATAATGAGACCTTAACGCCATCTCTGTCAGAATTACCGACTCCTTGGCTAACACATCGTTGACCCGCACTACTCTATTACTGTAGATGTAGATATGGACGTCGCCCCGACGCTGTCTCGTTTCCCCCGGTAGAACAAATGACAAACACGTACATGCTTGAAGTGCTATTACAACAATAATTCTGCCAAACCAATACTATCGGTAACTACAGTCGAGACTCCCGTGAAGGATGGCCGGCGCCATCGCCCCGAATCTGCAAAATGCATCCATATAGGCCTAATGGCGGGAGAGGACACTGACGCCCCCGATCCCCAGAAAATCAACTGAATCTGTCGATATCGTGCCGTGTAGCAAGTAAACTATGGCCATCGATGAGAAGCCGGAATCTCGTGGCACTATCCACCCTTAAGGTGTCCTCACACATAGGCGAATCCATTAAACGCAGTCTGGCGAATCGGGTAAATTTGTCAATTGCGCGATTTTTTACCGAAACTGTTTGAAAATGTGTTACATAATTTGACATATAACGAAAGGTAAACGTAGTGGAACTATTTGATGCGAATGATTTACGAAGTGTGACGAACGGTTACTGTTATTCGCTAGAATGCGTTGGGTCGTGCAAACAATCTTTGTTCTTTCCGTTTGCGATTAGGAACGCAATCATGCGAACCGAAGCGCAACTTTGCGCATGCTTCCGAAGACGTCCGAAGCTTTCCGAAAGGGTATTTCCGCATCCGGCCGTCACCGGACGCTATACAAGACTGGCGAAAACCAGGTGAGGTAATTTGTCCACCCTGACACCACGTCGTATTGCTGTTTGATTTTCAATTTTTTTGAAGTATGGTAAGTGCAAAATTATTCCAATGGGAAGAGGGAAAACATCTAGAGCGAGAGCAAGAAAGGCTGCTGCTGTAGAGCCAGAGAAACCCGAGGAACCAGAGGTGCAGTCTGATGAGCAGTCTGGTGATCACGAGGAGAAAATATCTAATAGTCCTCCCGGGTAAGTTTCAAATTTTTAAAGCTATTTTCCAAATCTTGTATTGTATGTCAGGGTTATATGTTTTGAGGTGTAAGTTCTAGTATTTTGTGGCCTTTATTTGTCATGGTTATATGTCAGAATTGAAGTGTAGGTTCTAGTATTTTGTAGCCCAGTAATGGCACCTATTTTTGTCACGTTATAAAACTCCTGTTTTTCACAACCTTCTAGGTCATGTTTAAGGAAAAGGTTTTACAGTAAATGTTTGTCACTGTCTCTGTGTATGTTCATTTCTATGTTCAGTGCCGGTGATATACAGTCTGAGGTCCCAATGTCCCCAAAGTCCCCAGCCCCCAAGCTTCTGAGAGGTTTGAGGGCCACGAACCTGACAGTGAACATGGGGGAAAAGACTCTGACAGTGATGAAGACCCAGTACCTCCGTCCCAAGCCCATTCGATATGTTCCGATTCACAGTCTTGCGAAGATGAATCACCACTGGATTCACAGAAGTCCAAGAAGTCACCAAAGTTACCACAAGGTGACCCGTCACAGACAAGGTACTATCAGAGACGTATAAATACATGTATTATACGTCTCTGGTACTATCATTTTTTAAATTTCATATTTGATTAAACAGGTATTTCTATTTGGTTAATCGTGACTTGTTGTCACCATAAAACATTAATTACAATATAATATAACATATTGTAATGTAGTGTAGGTGCTGTAAATATTAAAGGGTTTACATGTGTGTACATGTACTTGATGTTTCTTTTTTTTTTCTTCTTTCAGTCCAGCAACAAAGAAGAACAAGTGGTCTGCAGGTCAAAATAGGGAGAGACGAAACTACAAAAAGGCCATGAAGAACGACCCCCAGATAGAGAAGGATCAGGTAGGAAAGTTCCACTTCTTGAGGAAACAATCAGCCAGTTGTTTCCATTCTTCAGGTGTGGAGGGGGCTGGCATAACCTCATCGACATATTCCTCATATCTAGCATGACAGACTTCTCTGACCACTACAGAGAGGGTATTCTCAGCGACCCGCCAGGAGTACTGCATGACTGATTACTTGGCACCAGAAACCAGGTGGTGTAGAGTGGCAGCAAACTTGAGGCCTTGATCCAAGGGCTCCCTGTACCAGGTGTGTTGTTTCCACAGGCGATGACGGACCCTCTCGAATATTTCATCTGTGTGTGTTGGATACCGATATAGATAGAAAGGACCTACCAGTCTGTGTGTTGGAAAACAGCAGAGAGAAAGAGGACCTACTAGTCTGTGTGTTGGATAACGACAGAGATAAAGAGGACCTACCAGTTTGTGTGTTGGATAACGGCAGAGAGAAAGAGGACCTACCAGTCTGTGTGTTGGATACCGACAGAGATAAAGAGGACCTACCAGTCTGTGTGTTGGATACCGACAGAGAGAAAGAGGACCTACCAGTCTGTGTGTTGGATACCGACAGAGAGAAAGAGGACCTACCAGTCTGTGTGTTGGATACCGACAGAGAGAAAGAGGACCTACCAGTCTGTGTGTTGGATAACGACAGAGAGAAAGAGGACCTACCAGTCTGTGTGTTTGATGACGACAGAGAGAAAGAGGACCTACCAGTCTGCGTGTTGGATACCGACAAAGTTAGAAAATACCTAACAATCCGTTTGTGTTGCCTATCGACAGAGAGAAAGAGGACCTACCAGTATGTGTGTTGCATACCGACAAATATAAAGAGGACCTACCAGTCTGTGTGTTGGATACCGACAAAGATAGAAAATACCTAACAATCCGTTTGTGTTGCCTATCGACAGAGAGAAAGAGGACCTACCAGTATGTGTGTTGCATACCGACAAATATAAAGAGGACCTACCAGTTTGTGTGTTGCATACCGACAAATATAAAGAGGACCTACCAGTCTGTGTGTTGGATACCGATATAGATAGAAAGGACCTACATGTACCAATTTCTGTGTTATGGATACCGACAGAGTTTAATAGAATCTCTCAACCACTTGAGGTTGAGATAGGAAAACCTCAACCGAGGGGGAAGATTCTTTTCCCGAGGGTTGAATTTCCCCTATCTCACCATCAAGTGGGTGAATGATTCTTTTTCTCTTACCCTGTTCATTCATTGTGTATCAAATACACAAAGTCATGATAGCGTTACATGTAAATGCTAAATAAATTCAGGGTTGATGTGACGTTGATCGATTATTGACGTGACGTCATTGTATTGTTGAAGTGACGTCATATCATTGTTATGAATCCCCCCGTCGAAACCCTAGGGTGAGCCTAATATAATCCATCCCTGATGTCAGGTATGGATTAATAGAATCTTACATGGGTCTGTTCCGTGGACAGGGATATCTCAACCCGAATGTAAAAGTTTGGCTGGCCAGCCAAACTCTTACACAAGGGTTGAGATTAATAGAATCTTCTCCTACCTTGAGGGTGTGACAGAGAAATCTCCAATACGAGGGGTGAAGGTTTTTGGTTGTCTAACCCGAGGCTTGGCCGAGGGTTAGACAACAACAAAACTTCACCCCGAGGGTTGGAGATTTCTCTCTTACATCCTCAAGGTAGGGGATGATTATTTTTCTTCAGTCCTATTATTTCAGTCACAACTCCACCGACAGTAGTCTGCAATGTTTATGAACAAAAACACAGTGGGCAATGCATATCATCATTCACTTTTGATGACGTCACAGTTACTGATGACGCGTTTTAATGACGTCACAATTACCGATGACGCGTTTTAATTACGTCACAACTGAACACGTGCTAATTGATTGTTTTTCTTCTATCCTATTATTTCAGTCACAACTCCATCGACAGTAGTGTAAACAAAAACACATGTTGGGCATGAATATTGTCATTCTCTTTTGGTGACGTCACAATTACCGGTGACGCATTTTAATGACGTCACAATTGAACACGTGCTAATCGGCACGAGGCTATCTCCCCCTAGGGGGTGACTAATAGAATCTATCGCTACTGGTTGTGTAAGATAGAGAAATCCCAACCCGAGGACTAAGATTTTTTGTCCAGAACGAGGCAAACAACAAAAGCACCACATACGGCTATCTTATAAGCCCATCGATACAGAAAAGCGGTAATTAGTTTTGCATTAATTGAACGCACGGGCCAGCAACAGTGATTGATATTAAGTTGTTCCATATTGTTGTAAAATAAGCTGAAGATAATTACTTTTTCGGAGAATCTGACCTTATTCTCCAAGACCACCTGTCTGACTACACCCAGGACCAGGTGTTATTGTTTCATTACTGTGTAATGCAGTTTTGCGTGTTCATTGGCAACGTGAACTTATATGAACGTTGCTCAATTACATTCTAAATTGTCCTCATGAATTTAGGTTAATTATTATTCTTATACAATAACATAGTTCTCAAAAGAGTGTCTTGCATTTTTAGTGGGTTTTTTGTACGATAAAGTCATACAGAACATCGCGTTTTAATTCAATTTAGAACTGCATCACTGTTCATAAAACTGGTCTCCAAAATATTTACAAATAATAATAAATGCTTTAAGTTTTTGATTCAAACGAGTTAAAAGCCAAACACAACTACAAAACCTGGACAAACACCAAAAGTGTGTAGCTGGTAATAAATTCAGGCTACATACATAAATCTAACTATATTTGCTCAGAAAAAATGACCATGTCACAGGAAAACATGTATACTCAAGTGTAATAAAGGAGGTAGAGTTAACTCCCTTCTGTAAACACCGCCTCCAATATACTAGTAATGGTATTGTTTAGCTTCAAGACCTTTGTGACGACTACTCATAGGTAAAACACGTGCACAAAATCACGTGCTAAACCGATGTAGATAGCTGAGTGGTGTTCCCCTGTAGGTACTTAAGCACGTGTATCGCATGTCGTCAAATCATTTGGTGCGGTCAGCTGCTTTACCTGGGTACCTCGGATAAGATGGCTAGGTGTGTTCGTCTCGTTCTCTGCATGATCATCGTTTTAAACGCTGTACGACAGGTATGTGATCCTCGGTAGCAAAGTTATCGTAAAATACAAATTATATTTTTATTGGGAAATTTGCTTTGTGATCTGTATTTTATATGTGTATTGTTTTGGTATTTTCCTTTTTATATCTGTATCTTAATGTGTAATAGTATATCGTAGGTCAATTTAGCCGGATATTTGTTTTAACATTGAAACCTTATTCGTGAATTAATCTGTGACATTTTAATCAAACATATTTTGATAATTTTATAATTATTATTTATAGTACTCGGCACTAACTTAAGTGTAGCACTGTAGGAAGGGGGCGGTAGGGGCTTTCGTTATGATCCCGGCGTCGACGTCTGCGTCACCATCAGCAATGGTTAAGACATTTTCCCCGGGGATACGTCACGGTAGATTATTTTATATACTCATTGTGACTCACACCGGGTACCCCCGTCTGTATACAATTGAAAAGCTTAGTCGCATAGTGTCAGTTTTTAAATATTTTTTAAGATTGGGTTTTTACCAATTAGAACTATGACGATTAGACAAATGTTCAAATATAATAATATCAAAATATTGGGAGTTATGCCAAAAGGATTATCAAACAGTGCCACACTTAATGTAATGTTTTTTTATGGAAATACCGTGATTTTTTCGCATGAACAATGTTTTCTCTTCTAATATGTATTATAATGCAAAACAAAAGGTACGTGTAACTACGGAATTAGAAAAAAAATCTACAGTATTTGCAAGTATGGCGGTCTGATTAATTTTATTTCATATCACAATTAAGCTTTTTTTCAAGCAACTACAGTTCACAAACATCCGTTCAGTACGGAGTCAATTTTCGAAATGATCCGGATTGTACGTAGACATGATCCGCCAGGTACGGAGCAAACCAATGACTACACTAAGTAAAATGTAATGAAACCCAAATATAGGTTGCGAATAAACACTGTTGTGTCGGATATAGGTCATGTATATACACTCATCAAATGCGATTCCAGGGGGATGGGGACGACCCCCCCCCCCCTGCCCAATTTTTCCCTTCACCACAAACCCGAACACACCAATAGCTTCACTGGTCACCTATATGATTTTTGCCTCGCCCAGCTCGTTGCACTTTCAATATATTTGATCGGAAAAGGTATAGTTTTAGATATGCTGTTTCTCAAGCCACATTAAATGAATGGCATAATAGAATGGTTCCACTCGCTTTTCGTCAAAACCTTAAGGGAAACATTCTCTTAACACCATCTATACATCTCTTTGATCTGGAGGCATTAATATTATGGATATAAATAAAAGAAAACCACTGCTGTATTGACCACGAATTGATTTGTGGTAAAATAATCATCAACGATAGATAATAGATAAAAAATAAAAATAAAATGAAAATACAAAAATATATATATCTGTCCCTGCTGTGCGTCGGACCCCTTATAATTACCTCTATATTTTGGAATGTCGTTTTTAGGACCCAATACTTGACAAAAATAAGCGCTATAGTTTTATTGACAATATGGTAGCACAGGAAGTTGCGATTCCTCGTTGTCTCTGTTTTTTTCTATAAGGTTAATATAGCCCAAAATACAGAAACCGTGATATATAATGCAATTTTTCGTTCACAGCTTTCCAAAAAATAAATAAACATAACACTCCGTACCGACTATTCTAACGGCTTTTACTAACTCCGTACCATGTCAGATAGTGCTCCGTACCATGTCGAATTACTTACTCCGTACCATGTCGGATTACTAACTCCGTACCACGTCGGATACTGTTCCGTACCATGTCGGATAGTGCTCCGTACCATGTCGGATAGTGCTCCGTGCCATGTCGGATAGTGCTCCGTTCCATGTCGGATAGTGCTCCGTACCATGTCGGATTAATAACTCCGTACCATGTCTGATACTGCTCCGTACCATGTTGGATTACTAACTCATATATCATGTTCCATGTCGAATACTGCTCCGTACCATGTCGGATACTGCTCCGTACCATGGCGGATTAATAACTCCGTACCATGTCGGATACTGCTCCGTACCATGGCGGATTAATAACTCCGTACCATGTCGGATACTGCTCCGTACCATGTTGGATTACTAACTCATATATCATGTACCATGTCGGATACTGCTCCGTACCATGTCGGATAGTGCTCCGTACCATATCGGATAGTGCTCCGTAACATGTCGGATACTGCTCCGTACCATGTCGGATTACTAACTCCGTACCATGTCGGATAGTGCTCAATACCATGTCGGATTACTAACTCCGTACCATGTCGGATAGTGCTCCGTACCATGTCGGATTACTAACTCCGTACCATGTCGGATACTGCTCCGTACCTTGTTGGATTACTAACTCCGTACCATGTCGGATACTGCTCCGTACCATGTCGGATTACTAACTCCGTACCATGTCGGATTACTAACTCCGTACCATGTCGGATAGTGCTCCGTACCATGTCGGATTACTAACTCCGTACCATGTCGGATACTGCTCCGTAATGACCGGATCCTCTTTTGAGAACATACCGCAGTTTAAAATGGAAATGTTATGTCTTTTTATTAAAATTTAAGCTGGCGGATAGCTAGCATTAAAAGTACAAGTGGTGTGTCATTGTTACATTTTTTACAACAAGAATGTATCAATAGTTGGTCCATTTCAGGCCAGAAAATCATTTTTAAGTGCTGTGATTATTAGAATTATCTGCAATTTTTTATTTCATATTATGCATAGGTCATAGGTCATGAGTAAACATCATTAATCTACTGCATACATTCCTATTTTTTGTTTTTCAACCACTAAGTTATAAAGAAAATGGTTTTTGATACATGATGTCAAGATATTTTCAGCTTTGCACCGGATGGTGCGAAACAAAGTAACTTGTGCCATCATGAACCAAATCATTATTGTGTAGGTCAAAGCGATGAAAAACCTCAATACAAATGCATACAAATATTAGGGCTGGGACGAATCAGGATTTTTTCGAATCGGTTCGATTTCGATTTTGATCCCTTCGAATCGATTTTTTCGAATCGATTCACTTGATACACACTTTCTCATAAAAACATAAGAATCAATTATAAAACCTTTATTTAAGGTATAACAATACAAAAGTAACAGTTAATAAAGGTAACATATTAAAGTTTTTTCCTAGTTAAAATGTTTTCACTGCTAGGGGTAGATCGTGATGATATTGATTACTGCTAGTCATTAAAAGATTTGATATCGAAGACGTAGACACTGTTTGGTATTTGAATGCAGTGTTCCCTGTCACTTTTGTAATTGTTTTTTTTTGTACCTCATAACTTTCAAAATGGGGGTATGGCTGCATATATTAGGGGTACACCTTATCTAAATCCTCATGGGTATGTAATATCATCACAAAATTGTTAACTAATTGTAGCAATGTCATTTTTACAGGTTTTTATATATTTCATAATATTTCCAGTTTGCCATAGAATAAAAACACCAAGAATTAGTCAGTAACAGAATGAAAATTGTGTAAGGAGGCAGTTCCCAAATCGGAGCAGTACCCAAATCGGATCACTTTTGGCAATAATACTTATACTTCAATAAATGTGCCAAAAAATCATTTATAACAACGATGTATTCTTAGCCATGCAGGCATGCAACAGTTTATTTCTACAGATGATTCGTTTTTAAGTTGAAATTGCAAAAGAAAACGTATTTCAAACTCAAATGTCAGTGTTTTGATTACGTTTTTAAAAATGGCGCGTATTACTGAAACAGAGATCATGCAACTTACCCACACTGGGCACAGACAGTCATTATGTAATAATATGAACTGAAAGTTGTCGTCTTTAGCTGACGAATGAAATCCAAATAGAGTCTGCTGTTTTTTCCGTCATTCATGATCAATTATGCAGTATAGTGATAATCAGCCCCGAGGATACCGATAGTCCGGCTACGCACTCGGGTATTATCGTAGGACAGTGCGGACTCATTACCTCCCGTAGTAATTATATTCGCCGCTTGGTGCGCTGCATGCATTGTTTACTACCGGACTTCCGTCATTCGCGGGAAATTCTGACAGTCGCTTTCAATCTTCTGAATATCATCATTTAAAATACAAACATGCTACAAAAATGACTTAAAATTGTACAAAATTATTGTGCGTACACTCACGCTTAGTTTGAAGAATTGGAACCGAACCGAACCGATTTCCGGAAATGTTTCTGATTCGCGAAGCACCGATAATTTCGGTGCACCGCACACCCTTAACAAATATGTTAGATAAAAAAATCCCCTTCAACATCGATCTACAATTCTTATAAAAGGCATCTTTTATATATATGTACTGAACAAAAAAAGAAACGCACAATTAAATTATGCAATCAATAACCTATGATATTTTGGGAAATTTGTACAAAATTTTATATCAATATGAAGGGACAAGTCCACTCTTTACAATACTGTAGAAGAAAAATCTGTGTGACGTCACTCGTGTCATCAGTAGTTACTCAAAGTGGGATACCCGCGAAAAACAAAATGACACTTCAGTACCTGGTGTGGGCACCTTTTGCACGAATCCCTGCACGGATTCTCCTATGCATTGAATTCATGAGAACATTTATTCGCCTAAAGAGAATGTTGTTCCATTCTTGTGTTAATGCTGTGATCAACTGGGCGCGGTTAGTTTGTTTTTTTTGACGTTTCCTAATACGCCTGTCCAGCTCTCCCACAGATGCTCAATGGGAGACATGTCGGGGCTATATGGGAGCCATTCCAGAGGCTGAACGTTGTTTGCCGTGAGAAAATCACGACAGACTCGAGCTCTGGCAACATGCGGTCGAGCATTGTCTTGCTGGAAAATTAGGTTATGACATCTGAGAAGTGGAAGGACATGTGGTTGGAGGATCTGGTCTCTGTATCGAACGGCATTGAGGTTTTGATCCAGGACCACTAAGTTTTTTTTTACTCCATGTGAGATGCCTCCCCAAACCATTACAGAGCCCCACCGAATCTATCGCGTTCAACCACGCATGCGTCGGCGAAACGCTCGCCGCGTCTGCGATATGCCCCTTTTCTTCCGTCTGAGCGATACAGACAAAATCTAGACTCGGCGGTGAACATCTCACGCCTCCATCGACGCATCCCAAACCTATTCGGGCCATGTCTGCGCATCCAGTCAAGACGCACTTGCCGCCTCCGTGGTGTCAGAGGTGGCCCGACATAAGGTCGGCGCGCAATGATTCTCTCGGCACGCTAACGGTTCCTGGCAGTTTGAGGACTAATGGGTCTGCGATGAGTACCTAAGGTATGCGACGCAGTTTCTACAGCAGTCTTGAATCTGTTGCGCAAATGCGCAATCGAATCTTTGTGCATTTCTTTTTTTGTTCGGTATACATAAATTATATGCTACATTTGAATTGTGGATACTTCCCTCTCAAACACATTTCATCTGAGGTATATGACAACTATCCTTCACACACATTACATCAGACATATATGACAACTATCTCTCACACACAGATTACATCGGACATAAATGACAACTATCCCAAACACATACATTACGTCAGACATTTATGACAACCATCCCTCACACACACATTATATCAGATATTTATGACAACTATCCCACACACATACATTACGTCAGACATATTTGACAACTATCCCTTACACACATTTCATTGGACATAAATGACAACTATCCCACACACATACATTACTTCAGACATATATGACAACTAACCCTCGCATACATTACATCAGACATAAATGACAACTATCCCTCACATACATTACATCAGACATATATGACAATTATCCCTTACACACATTACATCAATCATATATGACAACTATCCCTTACACACATTACATCAGACATATATGACAACTATCCTTCACACACATTACATCAAGACATATATGACGACTATCCCTCACACACATTACTTCAGACATATATGACAACTATCCCTCACACACATTTCATCAGACATATATGACAACTACCCCTTACACACATTACATCAGACATTTATGACAGCTATCCCTTACACACATTACATCAGACATATCTGACAACTATCCTTCACACACATTACATCAGACATATATGACAACTATCCTTCACACACATTACATCAGACATATATGACAACTACCCTTTACACACATTACATCAGACATTTATGACAACTATCCCTTACACACATTTTATTGGACATATATGACAACTAACACTCATATACATTACATCTGACATATATGACAACTACATTTGTATCCCTCGCATACACATTACATCAGACATATATGACAACTATCCCTCACACACATTACATCAGACATATATGACAACTATCCCTCTTTAACACAGTTTATCAGACATGTTGTGTTATGCATTCTTTGATGTTTTTTTGAAATTCTACTATTCGTTTTCTTTCTCATTCGCAGATTCGTACCCAGACAAAATGTAGCAGCTTTGTTGTGCTTAGTAATGATACCGAGGAGAGTTGCGTAAGTCTTTTTCTTTTTTTATATTGAGAAAACATAAAAACACATATTAAACATCAATTATACATTCAGTGTTTGATTAAAGATATCCAGACACGATAATGCAGCCACCACTAATCTGGTTGTCTCACTATCCAGCCACCAATAATATGGTCGTCTCACTATCCAGCCACCACTAATCTGGTTGTCTCACTATCCAGCCACAACTAATCGGGTTGTCTCACTATCCAGCCACTACTAATCTGGTTGTCTTACTATCCAGCCACCACTAATCTGGTTGTCTCACTATCCAGCCACCACTAATCTGGTTGTCCAACTATCGAGCCATTACTAATCTGGTTGTCTCACTATCCAGCCACCACTAATCGGGTTGTCGATCTATCGAGCCACCACTAATCTGGTTGACTCGTTATCCTGCCACCACTAATCTGGTTGTATCACTATCCCGCCACCACTAATCTTGTTGTTCCATTATTCTGGCAATGTCAACTTATTGCCCTCTTCAAACCCATACATTGTTTTCGGAGACTGCAACGGGTAAGGATATCGAGACTCCCTTCTAGATGAGAGTGAATATGAGTTGATAGAAAAGGTATAGACTCTTCCTCCTGTTTTTTTATCATAATTATCATTAAGAAGCCGTCTTTATTTGTATATATACAGATCAATTGCCCACTATAATGTTTCATATAGGAGAGGGAGCTTATGTTAATAATCGCATTTATTTTTCATTGTCAGAACCTTGATCAAATACAAGACCCCGCAGACGAAAACGAGGCTCATCGGATACCAGAAGCCATGGGCGACGTACTTCCAGAAGATTTCATGGTAAACGTACCTGTAACACATTGCCTATACAACAATGCTGCACAGTAAACGTACCTGTACATGTAACACATTGCCTATACAACAATGCTTCAAAGTAAACGTACCTGTACATGTAACACATTGCCTATACAACAATGCTTCCCCCTAAACGTACCTGTAACACATTGCCTATACTACAATGCTTCACAGTAAACGTACCTGTAACCCATTGTCTATACACCAATGCTTCACAGTAAACGTACCTGTAACCCATTGTCTATACACCAATGCTTCACAGTAAACGTACCTGTAACAAATTGCCTATACAACAATGCTTCATGGTAAACGTACCTGTAACACATTGTCTATAAAACAATGCTTCACAGTAAACGTACCTGTAATATATTGCCTATACAACGATGCGTCATGGAAAACGTACGTGTAACACATTGTCTATACAAAAATGCTTCACAGTAAACGTACCTGTAACAAATTGCCTATACAACAATGCTTCATGGTAAACGTACCTGTAACACATTGCCTATACAACGATGCTTCATGGCAAACGTACCTGTAACACATTGTCTATACAACGATGCTTCACAGTAAACGTACCTGTAACACATTGTCTATCCAACGATGCTTCACAGTAAACGTACCTGTAACACATTGCCTATACACCAATGCTTCAAGGTAAACGTACCTGTAACACATTGTCTATAAAACAATGCTTCACAGTAAACGTACGTGTAACACATTGCCTATACAACAATGCTTCATGGTAAACGTACCTGTAACACATTGTCTATACAAAAATGCTTCACAGTAAACGTACCTGTAACAAATTGCCTATACAACAATGCTTCATGGTAAACGTACCTGTAACACATTGTCTATAAAACAATGCTTCACAGTAAACGTACGTGTAACACATTGCCTATACAACAATGCTTCACGGTAAACGTACCTGTAACACATTGCCTATACAACAATGCTTCACAGTAAACGTACCTGTACATGTAACACATTGCCTATACAACATTGCTTTACAGTAAACGTACCTGTAACATATTGCCTATACAACGATGCGTCATGATAAACGTACCTGTAACACAATGTCTATACAAAAATGCTTCACAGTAAACGTACCTGTAACATATTGCCTATACAACGATGCGTCATGATAAACGTACCTGTAACACAATGTCTATACAAAAATGCTTCACAGTAAACGTACCTGTAACATATTGCCTATACAACGATGCTTCATGGTAAACGTACCTGTAACACATTGCCTATACTACAATGCTTCACAGTAAACGTACCTGTAATATATTGCCTATACAACGATGCGTCATGGAAAACGTACCTGTAACACATTGTCTATACAACAATGCTTCACAGTAAACGTAGCTGTAACACATTGCCTATACAACAATGCTGCACAGTAAACGTACCTGTACATGTAACACATTGCCTATACAACAATGCTTCAAAGTAAACGTACCTGTAGCACATTGCCTATACCACAATGCTTCACAGTAAACGTACCTGTAACACATTGCATATACAACAATGCTTCACAGTAAACGTACCTGTAGCACATTGCCTATACTACAATGCTTCACAGTAAACGTACCTGTAATATATTGCCTATACAACGATGCGTCATGGAAAACGTACCTGTAACACATTGCCTATACAACAATGCTTCCCAGTAAACGTACCTGTACATGTAACACATTGCCTATACAACATTGCTTCACAGTAAACTTACCTGTAACATATTGCCTATACAACGATGCTTCATGGTAAACGTACCTGTAACACATTGCCTATACAACAATGCTTCGAAGTAAACGTACCTGTACATGTAACACATTGCCTATACAACATTGCTTCACAGTAAACGTACCTGTAACATATTGCCTATACAACGATGCGTCATGGCAAACGTACCTCTAACACATTGTCTATACAAAAATGCTTCTACCTGTAACACATTGCCTCTACAACAATGTTCACAGTAAACGTACCCTATACAACGATGCGTCATGGCAAACGTACCTGTACCACATTGTCTATACAACGATGCTCCACGGTAAACGTACCTGTAAAACATTGCCTATACAACATTGCTTAACAGTAAACGTACCTGTACATGAGTAACACATTGCCTATAGAACAATGCTTCACAGTAACCGTACCTGTAACACATTGGCTATACAACGATGCTTCCTGGCAAACGTACCTGTAACACTGCCTATACCACAATGCTTCACAGTAAACGTGCATGTAACACATTGCCTATACGACAATGCTTCACAGTAAACGTCCCTGTAACACATTGCCTTTACAACGATGAGTCATGGTAAACGTACCTGAAACACATTGTCTATACAACAATGCTTCGAAGTAAACGTCCCTGTACATGTAACACATTGCCTATTCAACAATGCTTCATGGTAACCGTACCTGTAACACATTGTCTATACAAAAATGCTTCATGGTAAACAAACCTGTAACACATTGTCTATACAACAATGCTTCATGGTAACCGTACCTGTAACACATTTTCTATACAACGATGCTTCATGGCAAACGTACCTCTAACACATTGTCTATACAAAAATGCTTCTACCTGTAACACATTGCATATACAACGATGCTTCACAATAAACGTACCTGTAACACACTGCCTATACAACAATGTTCACAGTAAACGTACCTATAACACATTGCCTATACGACAATGCTTCACAGTAACCGTACCTGTAACACATTTTCTATACAACGATGCTTCATGGTAAACGTCCCTGTAACACATTGTCTATACAACAATGCTTCATGGGAAACGTACCTGTAACACAATGTCTATACAAAAATGCTTCATGGTAAACTTACCTGTACATGTAACACCTTGCCTATACAACATTGCTTCACAGTAAACGTACCTGTAATTGCCTATACAACAATGCTTCACAGTAAACGTACCTGTAACACATTGCCTTTACAACGATGCGTCATGGTAAACGTACCTGTAACACATTGCCTATACAACGATGCTTCATGGCAAACGTACCTGTAACACATTGTCTATACAACGATGCTTCATGGTAAACTTACCTGTACATGTAATACATTGCCTATACAACAATGCTTCATTGTAAACGTACCTGTAACACATTGCCTATACAACAATGCTTCACAGTAAACGTACCTGTAACACATTGCCTATACAACGATGCTTCATGGCAAACGTACCTGTAACACATTGTCTATACAACGATGCTTCACAATAAACGTACCTGTAACACATTGCCTATACAACAATGCTTCACAGTAAACGTACCTGTAACACATTGTCTATACAACGATGCTTCACAGTAAACGTACCTGTAACACATTCCCTATACAACGATGCTTCACGGTAAACGTACCTGTAACACATTGCCTATTCAACAATGCTTCACAGTAAACGTACCTGTAACACATTGCCTATACAATAATGCTTCACAGTAAACGTACCTGTAACACATTGTTTATACAACGATGCTTCACAGTAAACGTACCTGTAACACATTGTCAATACAACGATGCTTCACAGTAAACGTACCTGTAATACATTGTCTATACAACGATGCTTCACAGTAAACGTCCCTGTAACACATTGCCTATACAACAATGCTTCAAAGTAAACGTACCTGTAACACATTGCCTATACAACAAGGCTTCACAGTAAACGTACCTGTAACACATTGTCTATACAACAATGCTTCATGGTAAACATACCTGTAACACATTGTCTATACAACAATGCTTCACAGTAAACGTACCTGTAACACATTGCCTATACAACGATGCGTCATGGTAAACGTACCTGTAACATATTGCCTATACAACGATGAGTCATGGTAAACGTACCTGTAACACAATGTCTATACAAAAATGCTTCACAGTAAACGTACCTGTAACACTGCCTATACCACAATGCTTCACAGTAAACGTACCTGTAACATATTGCCTATACAACGATGCGTCATGGTAAACGTACCTGTAACACAATGTCTATACAAAAATGCTTCACAGTAAACGTACCTGTAACACATTGCCTATACAACAATGCTTCATGGAAAACGTACCTGTAACACATTGTCTATACAACAATGCGTCACGGTAAACGTACCTGTAACACATTGCCTATACAACGATGCTCCACGGTAAACGTACCTGTGACACATTGCCTATACAACAATGCGTCACAGTAAACGTACCTGTAACACATTGCCTATACAACGATGCTCCACGGTAAACGTACCTGTAACACATTGCCTATACAGCGATGCTTCACAGTAAACGTACATGTAACACATTGCCTATACAACAATGATTCATGGTAAACGTACCTGTAACACATTGTCTATACAACAATGCTTCACAGTAAACGTATCCCTGTAACACATTGTCTACAACGATGCTTCACAGTAAACGTACATGTAACACATTGCCTATACAACAATGCTTCATGGTAAACGTCCCTGTAACACATTGTCTATACAACAATGCTTCACTGTAAACGTACCTGTAACACATTGCCTATACAACGATGCTTCACAGTAAACGTACATGTAACACATTGCCTATACGTACCTGTAACACATTGCCTATACAACGATGCGTCATGGTAAACGTACCTGTAACACATTGTCTATACAACAATGACATCAGTTGATTTACTCCATAGCTACGTAATGTATTAAAAACTTTCCGTGCGATTATTGGAAAGGTTATTAAATTGGAGAACGATTCAATAGACTTTGTATCTTTGCTTTTACATAAGTGTATCTTTTGAAATCAGCAAACCTTTGCAGTAATACTCGCCTGAACAGAAGCGGATGAGATGTACAGTCCTTCGTAAGGCTACTCCGTAAGTACGACAAAGATGTTGTATAGACGTTATTGTCATCATTGTCTTTCTTCACAGGAACAAGGAGAACTGCTGACCAAGCGCAAGGTCATCAGATTCATATCTAAGATCTGGCCACACGGCATCATCCCCTACAAGTTTGAGACCGGTGGACGCCGTTTCAGTAAGTACAAGTAGATCATCATCTGGTACATGTTCTACACCTGCTGTCGCCGCCGTTATAGAGTGTGTTAGTACTCCCCTTCACATACAAACGTTCTCTTAATTAAAAAGGAACATCGCTAATCAACAGCCAATGCATTTATTTCAATATTTGTCCACTTATAAATTGTTCATGCATTATAAGAGTTTTGAAATAATTTAGATCATAAAATGAAATAATATAAAGCTCAATTGCCCACACACATACACAAAAATGACAAAGATAACCCACACACAAATTTTAAATATTTGTTTATTACCATACGCAAAATCATAACCTCAGATTAAATCGAACGATGCTATTTAGTGCTTCATATCTAACAAGTTGGACAGACCGAAGCCGAAGCCGCGTAAATAACTACTCCCTTGTCTTGTATATAAGGCGATGCTGCTTTAATAAGTACTTCTTCGGCATCTAACACAATTTTGAGATCAGCCGAAGACATTTAGTACTTTTCCAACGCCTAACGATGAACGTAACAAATCTAATGTAAAATGTATCTCTTGTTAAATGTTTAAATCAATAACGGAGAACCAATCGAGTACTCTCACTCCAGTTCCCTATCTCAGTTTGGGTTTTGTCAGATGAATTCCATTCATGATTTTTTACGAATACTAACATACATTTCTTTTGTTATTTATCAAACATGATAATATTTAGTTGTAACGGGGACTTTACATAAATCATCCTAACTAATCATGTAGTCACAAATTATGCATCAGAAAACATTCGAATTTGGACAAAATAGGACAAAATCTTAATGTTGACCAATCAGATGGCAGCTTATGACAGCTACATGTATCTTGTCAAATTAGAAATGTAGAATCAGTGTCCTTAGTGACAAGATACTCCTACCCATAAACTTTAAACAAACTCGTACAGTGTACAATATCTAAATATCCACCAATCAGTAAAGGAATCTCGATTTCATTGATAAAGATACTGAGAATGACATGGATCTTCCCAGTGTTCCTCTAGTATGATGGAGAAATTAATGTAGAGAGAACTTTCAACTGTATCAACATCTTCTTAATCGTCGCTGCATACTTCTACTTATATGTAGCAAAGAGCAAGTCGACCAAGTACGTCCAGATAGCGATGAAGCACTGGCAGCGATATACTTGTCTGGAATTCATAGACATCCACAAACAGAGACAGCGATATGCGTCACTGAGGAAAGTTCTGAAGCACGATCACTACCTGTCTTTTGGAACTGGACAAGGGTGAGTATTTTTCGCGCTTTTTGGACAGGAAATGATGTCATATGAAATATAACTGTAGGAACTGGAAGTAGGCTATCAAAGGGGGCTTAACTCTGTTTTAACTGAAAAAGGGGTGACAGACCTTCATATTGGAATTTTTGTAGGCGTATAGATTAAAATACTTTCAGGTGCTCGGCATTACAGTTGCATAACTGGGATGTACTTTTATCATTAATAACCTATTTATAGTATGTGCCATTACGTGTCAAACCCATTGCATAACACTGTCAAATTCAGCCTGCATTCATCTACGTTTAGTTGGCATTCACAATCAATACCCTTCTTAAGGAACCCCGCTAAAACACAGGACAGTTGGACAGGGAACCTTAAATAGTTTTAGAGCTCACTGACCTCAAACAAATTAATGTTTCGTAAAACTAATATCGCACGTGACACATGACCATTATTGACATCGCAGCAATTACCACGTGACTAGAAATGAAGCCGAACCCGTGACGAAAATTAACATTTCAGTGATATAACACGTGAATAGAAAAGACATTAAAGTGAAATAACACGTGATCACAGTTAACACTGCAAGACTATAACACATGAAGTCAATTGACACTGCAATGATAAAGCACGTGACTCATTCGTGACTTGAATTGATATTGCATTGAGATAGCACGTGACAAGTGTTAAATACCACAGTTATATACATGTTCTAGTAACATGTGACTTGGGTAGAAACGGCAATGAACGCATGCTTGACAGACGGGGACCACGTTCACACAGCTTTAGCGAACTACATGTATAGCGAATAACAGTTTGAAGCTCGAAGAAGGAAATTTTTGCTCTACCATTGACCTCATTGAGATAATCGTCTTAATTCTCGAGATATAAAAATGAGGAGCTAGTAAAACATTTATAATTAAACGCTGGGTTCCGCCTCAAGTTTTAAAGTAAACAATCCACATACGGGAATATTGTATGCTTGGATGTGACTCGAAATCTTGACCAACCTTTGCAGTACCATGCTCTGATTTCTAAATGGAAGTGTTTTTTTTAGCAGGACAGAAACAATAGTTTGAATAATAGAAGTGGTTTTTTTCCAGGTGCGCATCAATGGTTGGTTATACTCGAAAACACGCTCAACCCATTTATCTAAGAGAACCAGGCTGTACAATGGTAAGAAGTTATGAAAAAACATGAATTGAACCCTAAATGTTTGCGCAAACATTGCCGCTTTATCTTTAATTAAGACTGATTATGATTCAGCATTGTTTATTACGGCGAGCACTTAATTCTATTTTATGTCTACGTTATTCTACGTTTTAACAGTCAGTGTGCGTCTGCTTGGTGTTCCAGAATGCGATATAATTATGGTGATCGGTAAGTGTTACCAAAAATGTTACGATTACCGTTCCTTTGCTCTTTCGCCCCTGTACACACGAGGGAAGGAAAAACGAAGAAACGGGACTTAATAACAATTCATTAACTAGTATCCAGTATTTTATAGATGTCATTTTTCCAGCGGCGGCGGCGTCAACGTACAGGTTTTACGTTTAGCTTTGATTTTACAAAAGTGTTTAACAAATGTTGCACCTACCAAGCTTGTACCCGAGTTACATTTTAGCTTCTCTATTGTAAGTCCATGCATCAGATACTGAATGTGGTCTACATTCCCTGGTCCAGTGGCTGTTAAAGCATATTTATTAACCTAACACGTTTGTAGCTGTGTGTATCTCCAACAAGAACTCCTAAATTTGCACCTCGGATACATTCTGAGCAGACATTCTAATTTCAGAAACGAGCTGCTGTGTGGGTCCTAGTTGGTACAGTCAAGCGGTTTTTTGTTCAGTTTCCTTATCAATGTTGAGCTTGTGCATTTAGCTGTGCCTTATGTCTTGTATCTCAGACTATTTAAGTCCTAGACCATTTATACTGACACCATAGATACAACTTGGTTAGTATATCTTGATCGTAACATTAAATGATGTGTTAGTTCTTGTTTGTACAGTCCAGCGACTTAAGTACACGTGGTTGTTCTATAACATACTTTAGTATACTGTCCATGTATACGTGTCTCTGCTTCATGTGTAACTGTTATGTACAGGACAGGAACAGTCGTCGTTTCTAAAACGAATATTCCTTTTTCGAAGAAAGTGCGATCAAAATTTCAAGCAATAGACATTGATCCGTTTTGTGTGGACACATTGATTTGATATTAAATGATGCCGGTTTTTTGCTAACTTTGGCATATCAATAGTGTATCCATATATCCGAGGTCATATCTAACGGGATCAGAAGTTATCACCGGAATCACAGAGAAATTAACACCGGTATCACACAGAAATTTTCATCGAGATCACACAAAAAAACACCGGGATCAAACAGAAATTATCACCTGGATCACACAGAAAATAACACCGGGATCAAACAGAAATTAAAACCGGGATCACAGAGAAATTAACACCGGTATCACAGAGAAATTAACACCGGTATCACACAGAAATTAACATCGGGATCAAACAAAAATGAACACCGGTATCACACAGAAATTAACACCGATATCACACAGAAATTAACATCGGGATCAAACAAAAATGAACATCGGGATCAAACAAAAATGAACATCGGGATCAAACAAAAATTAACATCGGGATCACACAAAAAATTACACAAGGAATGTATGGTGTACCCTATATACAAAACGAAAAATATTGTTCAATTTTTACAGCCGGGTATCGTGGTACACGAGATCGGCCACGCTATCGGGTTCTATCACGAGCAGTGCCGAGAGGACCGGGACAACTTCGTTAACATAAACATGGAACTTGTACAGGAGCCAGGCCGGAAAAACTTCGCTAAAGTCGTCACTCACACCGAAATAGCGCCGTACGACTTGGCGTCTACGATGCATTATGGATCGAAGGTAGGTTGACATTTGATAAGAGTTAATCCCGTAAGATGACGTCACGTTTCTGTCCTGGTTAATGTTCTGTCTGACCAACGTTTTATAGTTGCCAATTTAACCTCTAATTACCATTTGCTAACCTAATAGAGAGATTTAAAAATGTGCAGAATGACTTTATTAGTTCGATTTAAGGTGTTAATATTTTGAACAACAGTATTCTTAATAAATTCAGACGAGAAACGGGTTCATAGAGATTTAAATTCAAAAATCTGTATGTAAACTCGTGACGAAAATTTAGCGCCACACTAACAACTATCCAAGTTATAAAGAAGTGCCATTTGGCAAATGAATGACCTAAATTACCAATATGTATTATTGGGATGGTTCTTCAAATTTTTACACTTTATTTACAGTACTTTAGTAAAAACGGTGGCAGTACCATCAAAGCGCGAGATTCTAACCTCAACTTCCTACTTGGACGCCGGATCGGACTGAGCTTCTACGATGTCATAGCGGCAAACAACGCGTACAAATGCTCAGGTAAATACTCAACAGTAAACACAACGGGTACAGCTGCTCGGGTAAATACTCAACAGTAAACACAACGCGTACAGCTGCCTGGGTAAATACTCAACAGTAAACACAACGCGTACCACTGCCTGGGTAAATACTCAACAGTAAACACAACGCGTACAACTGCCCGGGTAAATACTCAACAGTAAACACAACGCGCACAGCAGCCTGGGTAAATACTCAACAGTAAACACAACGCGCACAGCAGCCTGGGTAAATACTCAACAGTAAACACAACGCGTACCACTGCCTGGGTAAATCCTCAACAGTAAACACAACGCGTACCACTGCCTGGGTAAATCCTCAACAGTAAACACAACGCGTACAACTGCCTGGGTAAATCCTCAACAGTAAACACAACGCGTACAGCTGCTCGGGTAAATACTCAACAGTAAACACAACGCGCACAGCTGCTCGGGTAAATACTCAACAGTAAACATAACGCGCATAGCAGCCTGGGTAAATACTCAACAGTAACACAACGGGTACAGCTGCTCGGATAAATGCTCAACAGTAAACACAACGCGTACAACTGCTCGGGGAAATACTCAACAGTAAACATAACGCGCACAGCTGCTCGGATAAATACTCAACAGTAAACCCCACGCGCACAGCTGCTCGGATAAATGCTCAACAGTGAACACAACGCGTACAACTGCTCGGGTGAATACTCAACAGTAAACATAACGCGCACAGCTGCTCGGATAAATACTCAACAGTAAACATAACGCGTACAACTGCTCGGGCAAATACTCAACAGTAAACACAACGCGCACAGCTGCGCGGGTAAATACTCAACAGTAAACATAACGCGCACAGCTGCTCGGATAAATACTCAACAGTAAACCCCACGCGCACAGCTGCTCGGATAAATGCTCAACAGTAAACACAACGCGCACAGCTGCTCGGATAAATACTCAACAGTAAATACAACGCGTACAGCTGCTCGGGTAAATACTCAACAGTAAACATAACGTGTACAACTGCTCGGATAAATACTCAACAGTAAACACAACGCGTACAGCAGCCTAGGTAAATACTCAACAGTAAACACAACGGGTACAACTGCTCGGGTAAATACTCAACAGTAAACATGAATATTTGGTGTAACTACAGTAAGCTAGTGTTGTCAATTCAAATTTGGAGCACGAGCGGATGGTTGTGCTCATGTGACTTGTCGTATCTTTCATATGAGCGTCAACAAGAAAACAAAAGCAGACTTTTTTTATTATTTGAGGTGTTTCAGTGATTGTTTGCAGCGTTATTGTTTGAGGTGTTTTGGTGATATTGTTTGAGGTGTTTAGAGCGTTATTGTTGGAGGTGTTTTGGTGATATTGTTTTAGGTGTTTGGAGCGTTATTGTTTGAGGTGGTTTGGTGATATTGTTTTAGGTGTTTTGGTGATATTGTTTGTTATGAGAGATATTGTTTGAGGTATTTTGGTTATATTGTTCGAGGTGTTTTGGTGATATTGTTGTTTTGAGAGATATTGATTGAGGTATTTTGGTGATATTGTCTGAGGTGTTTTGGTGATATTGTTGTTTTGAGAGATATTGATTGAGGTATTTTGGTGATATTGTTTGAGGTGTTTAGAGCGTTATTGTTGGAGGTGTTTTGGTGATATTGTTTGTTATGAGAGATATTGTTTGAGGTATTTGGAGCGTTATTGTTTGAGGTGGTTTGGTGATATTGTTTTAGGTGTTTTGGTGATATTGTTTGTTATGAGAGATATTGTTTGAGGTTTTTTGGTGATATTGTTCGAGGTGTTTTGGTGATATTGTTAGAGATATTGTTTGAGGTATTTTGTTGATATTGTTCGAGGTGTTTTGGTGATATTGTTGTTATGAGAGATATTGTTTGAGGTTTTTTGGTGATATTGTTCGAGGTGTTTTGGTGATATTGTTAGAGATATTGTTTGAGGTATTTTGGTGATATTGTCTGAGGTGTTTTGGTGATATTGTTATTTTGAGAGATATTGTTTGAGGTATTTTGGTGATATTGTTTGAGGTGTCTGGAGCGTTATTGTTTGAGGTGTTTTGGTGATATTGTTTGAGGGGTTTTGGTGATATTGTTTTAGGTGTTTGGAGCGTTATTGTTTGAGGTGTTTTGGTGATATTGTTTTAGGTGTTTTGGTGATATTGTTTGAGGTGTTTTGGTGTAATTGTTTGGTGCGTTATTGTTTGAGGTGTTTTGGTGATATTGTTTGAGGTGTTTTGGTGATATTGTTTGAGGTGTTTTGGTGATATTGTTTGAGGTGTTTTGGTGATATTGTTTGAGGTGTTTTGGTGATATTGTTTGAGGTGTTTTGGTGATATTGTTTGAGGTGTTTTGGTGATATTGTTTGAGGTGTTTTGGTGATATTGTTTGAGGTGTTTTGGTGATATTGTTTGAGGTGTTTTGGTGATATTGTTTGAGGTGTTTTGGTGATATTGTTTGAGGTGTTTTGGTGTAATTGTTTGGAGCGTTATTGTTTGAGGTGTTTTGGTGATATTGTTTGAGGTGTTTTGGTGATATTGTTTGAGGTGTTTGGAGCGTTATTGTTCGAGGTGTTTGGAGCGTTATTGTTTGAGGTGTTTTGGTGATATTGTTTGGAGCGTTATTGTTCGAGGTGTTTGGAGCGTTATTGTTGGAGGTGTTTTGGTGATATTGTTTGAGGTGTTTTGGTGATATTGTTTGAGGTGTTTTGGTGATATTGTTTGAGGTGTTTTGGTGATATTGTTTGAGGTGTTTTGAGGATATTGTTTGAGGTGTTTTGGTGATATTGTTTGAGGTGTTTTGGTGATATTGTTTGAGGTGTTTTGGTGATATTGTTTGAGGTGTTTTGGTGATATTGTTTGAGGTGTTTAGAGCGTTATTGTTGGAGGTGTTTTGGTGATATTGTTTGAGGTGTTTTGGTGATATTGTTTTAGGTGTTTTGGTGATATTGTTTGAGGTGTTTTGGTGTAATTGTTTGGTGCGTTATTGTTTGAGATGTTTTGGTGATATTGTTTGAGGTGTTTTGGTGATATTGTTTGAGGTGTTTTGGTGATATTATTTGGAGCGTTATTGTTTGGCTTATTTCGGTGGTATTTTATGACGTGTTTTGGCGATACAGCCCAATCTATGTTATTTATATTAATGCATTAGTGATAAAAAAAAATTGTTTTTTTTCATAGTGACGGTTTATCTCTTTGTTATATGTTGTGATAAGTAAGTGTTCATGTTTCTGTCTTGAAAAAGGGGCGGAATGCCTTGACAATTTGATAAATTCCCTGGTCTGCACTGTCGTTATTACTTTCTTGCTTATATATACATTGTATAAAGCTATACATTTATACATCTGTGTACGATAATCTTTAAAAATCATTTTGTGACCATTACGGAGATGATGATAGATTTAACTGGTATACATTGTGATATGTTTCCAGGGAAATGCAACAGAAAAACGGCCCCAAAATGTGAGAATGGGGGTATGTGGTATAAAGCCTGTGAGTGTTTATGTCCAGAAGGGCTGGCCGGTGACCGTTGTGAGCAGATTGATCACTCCTGGACTATCAGCGGTATGTACAAACTGAATAGAAAGCGAATGTGAAACTAGATATACTAAAGTAGAACAGAGGGAGTTAGGTTTGGTATATCACCTGATCAGATATTATGTAGTTAAGTAGGAAGGAAAACACATTTTAGATATATCGTAGGAATAGTACTCTCGGATGACGTCATCAAACATCTCAGCAATTCAGTTTCTTCTTAATTCATGTAAAATGCTAGTAAGTCTTACAGAGAATGTTCATACAGTTAAAACATAACAGCATACATAGTCTCACTCTAAATAACTATAAAGCTTGTTGACTTGTTTTTATCTTCATTGCTAGCTGTAAAGGTTGATCATCTGAACTACCACGGAATTAGATTAGAAAAAGACAAAACTGATAATTCAATACCAATATGGCGATGCCATCGACAGCATACCAAGATATAATGTATGTGACTGATAGTGTGCTGATTTAGCCACAGAACTAGGTTGCTAGTATACCAACCTACTGTATTGCCGCGTCATCATCCCAAGGATGGTAGGAGCTGATGGAGGGAAAGGGACGGAGACCGGAAGGCGTTGGTCTGAAAAAGCGTTTTCTATATAGTCGTGAATTGTTTGGAACAGTGTATGCCACAATATACGGTGATACACATATATATGTATAGAAATGAAATCTACTACTGATGTAGCTTACAAAACTAAAAACATTGGTGTCAATCCGAGTCCTAGCGAAATTAGTATGGCAGTGATGTCCAGATAGATATACAAATGAACCACAGTAAGTTTCCATGTGCAGGACATGTAGGTCCTCTCCACTGGACTCTAAAGTTAAATATTATAGAGCACCAGTCATATACCGGAAAAAATGACGAATAAGCAGACGGGCAAAAACGAAGTTTTAAAGAAAAAAAACCCGGATCAGCCAAACTGTCTGGCTTGCCCAGTGCTCACCTATTTCTTGTTTAAAATGTCAAGTTGTACATTATGCCGGAGGTGATAATGTGCCAACCCAGTGGGTTGTGTGTTATCATTGTTTTTGTACATGTACATATTGTGATATTAATATCTGACACACCACGCGACCCTTGACTGGAGTTTCACATGTATACTTATCCCCTTTGATATCTGACACACCACGCGACCCTTGACTGGAGTTTTACATGTCTAATTATCCCCTTTGATATCTGACACACCAAGCGACCCTTGACTGGAGTTTCACATTTCAAATTATCCCCTTTAATATCTGACACACCACGCGACCCTTGACTGGAGTTTCACACGTCTATTTATCCCCTTTAATATCTGATACACCACGCGACCCTTGACTGGAGTTTCACATGCCTACTTATCCCCTTTGATATCTGACACTCCACGCGACCCTTGACTGGAGTTTCTCATGTCTACTTATCCCCTTTAATATCTGACACGCCACGCGTCCCTTGACTAGAGTTTCACATGTCTAGTTATCCCCTTTGATATCTGACACCCCACGCGCCCCTTGACTGGAGTTTTACAGTCTCATTATCCCCTTTGATATCTGAAACACCACGCGACCCTTGACTGGATTTCACATGTCTACTTATCCCCTTTAATAGCTGACACACCACGCGACCCTTGAATGGAGTTTCACATGTCTACTTATCTCTTTTAAAATCTAACACACCAGACGACCCTTGACTGCAGTTTCACATGTCTAATTATCCCCTTTGATATCTGACACAGACACCACGCGACCCTTGACTGGATTTCACATGTACATTATGCCGGAGGTGATAATGTGCCAACCCAGTGGGTTGTGTGTTATCATTGTTTTTGTACATGTACATATTGTGATATTAATATCTGACACACCACGCGACCCTTGATTAGAATTTCACATGTCTACTTATCCCCTTTGCTATCTGACACACCACGCGACCCTTGATGACACACCACGCGACCCTTGACGGGAGGTTTACATGTCTACTTATCCCCTTTGATATCTGATACACCACGCGACCCTTGACTAGAGTTTCACATGTCTACTTATCCTCTTTAATATCTGACACACCACGCGTCCCTTGACTAGAGTTTCACATGTCTACTTATCCCGTTTAATATCTGACACACCACGCGCCCCTTGACTGGAGTTTCACATGTCTCCTTATCCCCTTTAATATCTGACACGCCACGCGTCCCTTGACTAGAGTTTCACATGTCTACTTATCCACTTTAATATCTGACACACCACGCGCCCCTTGATGACACACCACGCGACCCTTGACGGGAGTTTCACATTTCTACTTATCCCCTTTGATATCTGATACACCATGCGACCCTTGACTGGAGTATCACATGTCTACTTGTCCCCTTTAATATCTGACACACCACACGACCCTTGACTGGAGGTTTACATGTCTCATTATCCCCTTGGATAGCTGACACACCACGCGACCCTTGAATGGAGTGTCACACATCTTATCCATGCGACCCTTGACTGGAGTTTCACATTTCAAATTATCCCCTTTAATATCTGACCCCCCACGCGACCCTTGAATGGAGTTTCACACGTCTTATCCACGCGACCCTTGACTGGAGTTTTACATGTCTACTTATCCCTTTTAATATCTGACACACCAGACGACCCTTGACTGGAGTTTCACATGTCTACTTATCTCTTTTAAAATCTGACACACCAGACGACCCTTGACTGGAGTTTTACATGTCTACTTATCCCCTTTAATATCTGACACACCACGCGACCCTTGACTGGAGTTTCACATGTCTACTTGTCCCCTTTGATATCTGATACACCCCGCGACCCTTGACTGGAGTTTCACATGTCTACTTGTCCCCTTTAATATCTGACACACCACGCGACCCTTGACTGGATTTCACATGTCTACTTATCCCCTTTGATATCTGATACACCACGCGACCCTGGACTGGAGTTTCACATGTCTACTTATCCCCTTTAATATCTGACACACCACGGCACCCTTGAATGGAGCTTCTCACGTCTACTTATCCCCTTTAATATCTGACACACCACACGACCCTTGACTGGAGTTTCACATGTCTACTTATCCCCTTTAATATCTGACACACCACGCGACCCTTGAATGGAGTTTCACATGTCTACTTATCCCGTTTAATATCTGACACACCACGCGACCCTTGACTGGAGTTTCACATTTCTAATTATCCCCTTTAATATCGGACACACCACGCGACCCTCGCCCGGAGTTTCACATGTCTATTTATCGCCTTTGATATCTTATACACCACGCGTCCCTTGACTAGAATTTCACATGTCTACTTATCCCCTTTAATATCGGACACACTACGCGACCCTTGAATGGAGTTTCTCATGTCTAATTATCGCCTTTAATATCTGACACCCCACACGACCCTTGACTGGCGTTTTACATGTCTCATTATCCCCTTTGCTATCTGACACACCACGCGTCCCTTGACTAGAATTTCACATGTCTACTTATCTCCTTTGATATCTGATACACAACGCGACCCTTGACTAGAGGTTCACATGTCTTATTATCCATTTTAATATCCGACACACTACTTATCCCCTTTGATCTCTGACGCACCACGCGCCCCTTGACTGGAGTTTTCCATGTCTCATTATCCCCTTTGCTATCTGACACACCACGCGTCCCTTGACTAGAGTTTCACATGTCTACTGATCCCCTTTGATATCTGACCCACCCCGCGACCCTTGACTAGAGGCTCACATGTCTAATTATCGTTCACACGTCTATTTATCCCCTTTAATATCGGACACACCACGCGACCCTTGACTGGAGTTTCACATGTCTAATTATCCCCTTTAATATTTGACACACCATGCGACCCTTGACTGGATTTTCACATGTCTAATTATCCATTTTAATATCCGACACACCACGCGACCCTTGACTGGAGTTTCACATGTCTAATTATCGCCTTTGATATCTGATACACCACGCGACCCTTGACTAGAGGTTCACATGTCTAATTATCCCCTTTGATATCTGACACACCACGCGACCCTTGACTGGAGTTTCACATGTCTAATTATCCCCTTTAATATCTGACACACCACGCGACCCTTGAATGGAGTTTCACACGTCTTATCCCCTTTAATGTCTTTAGGTTGTGGAGGCATAGTTCAAATCTCCTCCGACAATGAAGTGATAAGTTCTCCGAACTTTCCCGGGTCTTATGGAAAAGCGAAATGCGTGTGGCTGATCAAGGTAAACGAATACTACTTATACTTACTACGTCAGTTACACTGGAAGCCCCCTCTCCCTAAGATTTCAGCTTAACCAGACATTCGCGCAATGTTTATGTTTTAGCTGATTAAACGGAATGTTAATACGTTGCCGTGTTGTATATTACTGGGCCTATATATATTTGTATTTCCCATCCGTTCAGAGTCGGTAGCCCGGGTATAAATATATGACACAGTACAGTATACACACATATACATACAATGTATATATACCAAGCGTAAATAAATACACAAAATAATGTAACAATGCATGTATTATTAATTTGAAATATGTATTGATATTTGATAATTATTTTATTGCCATATTTAAAAATGTATTAGGTTCCACCTTTATCGGTGTAATTGTTTCAATTGGAACTTTACAAACACTCAATATTGCTTATGAAATTAAATTTGAAAACGAAAACAAATCCTGAAAAGATGTAATTAATGGAGCTTTAATGGTATGAGTGTTTCAAGGCCAATTCCCGATTTTGTTAAGAGATTGACTGAGACTTTGGTTAAAGATTTAGGCTGACTGAGACTTTGGTTAAAGATTTAAGCTGACTGGGACTTTGGTTAAAGATTTAAGCTGACTGGGACGTTGGTAAAAAAAATTAAGCTGACTGAGACTTTGGTTTAAGATTTAGGCTGACTGAGACTTTGGTTAAAGATTTAAGCTGACTGGGACTTTGGTTAAAGATTAAAGCTGACTGAGACTTTGGTTAAAGATTTAAGCTGACTGGGACTTTGGTTAAAGATTTAAGCTGACTGGGACTTTGGTTTAAGATTTAAGTTGACTGAGACTTTTAGTATGTTTAAACAAAATTTGTCGCCGGTGAATATCGATATGCCTATAGATCTAATAGCACAGGTTTGTCGTAGCCAGACTCGGCCTATGGCCTGGGTCTGTCATTGTCATGCTCGGCCTATGACCTTGGTCGGGCATAGCACTCGGTCTATAACCTTGGTGTGTCATAGCCCTCGGGCTATGTGTTTGGTGTCTCATAGTCCTCGGTCTATGATCTTGGTTCGACATAGCCCTCGGCCTATGGTCTTGGTCTGTCATAGACTGGCTCCGCCTATATCCTGGGTCTGTCATAGCCCTTTGCCTATGTACAGGGTCTGGCATAGCCCTCGGCCTATGACCTTTGTCTGTCATAGCCTTCGGCCTATGACCTTGGTCTGCCATAGCCCTCGGCCTATGTCCTGGGTCTGTCATAGCCCTCGGCCTATGTCCTGGGTCTGTCATAGCCCTCGGCCTATGACCTTGATCTGCCATAGCCCTCGGCCTATGTCCTGGGTCTGTCACAGCCCTCGGCCTATGCTCTGGGTCCGTCATAGCCCTCGACCTATGTCCTGGGTCTGGCATAGCCCTCGGCCTATGTCCTGGGTCTGTCATAGCCCTCGGCCTATGTCCTGGGTCTGTCATAGCCCTCGGCCTATGCCCTGGGTCTGTCACAGCCCTCGGCCTATGTCCTGGGTCTGTCATAGCCCTCGGCCTGTCATAGCCAGACTAAGCCTATGGCCTTGGTTTGTCTTAGCCAGATTCGGTCTCTTGCCTTGGACTAATATAACAGACCTCGGCCTTATACTTTGGTTATACGGAATAAGCTGATTGATAACCCAATGATTCTGACAACATAACTGGCAAACTTCCAAGGGAAAACACTTTCAGTCTAAATAGTTACCTCGGAATACCCAAGTTCTCGGATGGCCTTTGATCAATAAGATCGTTTCTTAACGTTATACGTCAGGACTGGTGGGTTTTACTAATCTGATTGTTTGTTGTTCCAATAGTCCCCAGCCGACACTCAGATTAAAACAGCCGTCACAGTTAAGAACATCCCAAGATCATCGAGGAGACAGGAGTGCCACCATTGGTTAGAGGTCCGCTACAATCTGATTGGTCAAAACGGTCCAAGGTACGTCAAGTATATGATAGGGTGTTTTTACACGTCTTATAGTATATAAACAGAAATAACACGACTTCATAAAGAGGACCTTACTGTGTAGACCGCTATTTACATGTGAAACGTTTTTAATAAAAATAATTTGATATTGATCACACTTAGATTTCATTATTTGTATGAGCAGCAGTATATGATTAGGTGTATTTATATTGAATGTATTTAACATATTAAGAAGCGTTAGTGAGAGGCACTATAATTGCTGATAAATTCGTGGTTTGCCCGTTTTTTACGCGTATACAGATTGTGCGGTGCCAACGGTTTTAAGGAATTTCCTTTATCCTCTGACAACCTGGTCCTGCTGCGCTTTGATGGTTCCAAAGGACATGTCAAAACGTCGAGAGGCTTCCAGGTCAAAGTTCAAGCAATTAAAGGTTAGCTTTGAAATTAAGGGGGGAGGGGGCTCTCTTTTGAGTTGAGCAAATCCAAATGTATTTTTGTTTGTTAAATGCGTAACCTTGCTGTTATAACAATAAACAATTTATAACTATCTGGTTTCATTCGTCGAATGAAGGTTCATGCAAATAATTGTATGCTTTTGAAGATTTGCTACCGGACAAACACACAAACCTACAACAAAGGTGACTTGAAATAGTATTTGTTCATCTGTCAAATGTCGATTTCATGTGTTGACGAGCGATGTCGATAGATTTTGTAAAGGGGGAGGGGTTGACTGGTTGAAATAAATACCTTACAACTGCTCACAGTTGCCAGAATCGATAAAAAAAGGAAACATATATATATGGATCACGTGACAAATATATTAGCGCGCTAAAAAAACACCAGCATAATCTGAATAAATAGATTATCTTGATCACTTTGCTTATTCTAGGCGTATGGACACGAGAAAGACACGAAATTATTTTAATTGCATTTTACTTGGTAGAATAGATATAATTAACATATGTTTTCACATTATGGTGGGATTTATAACTCGGTATTCAAAAATATTGGAAAAATAATCAACTCGGGCTTCAAGTGGCCTCGTTAATTAAGAATGTTGTCAACATCGTTATATTTTCCACCATAATACACACATACGCCGACACTTCAGAATCGTACACTAGTAAAATACAAGCCATAACTATGGAAATGTCGGACTTACAATTTGTAGTTACCGCAGATACTGTTCGCAATGCTGGTACCAGATTCTGGAAACTCAGTCACCGAAATATTTCGTCCATCAACAACTAATCTCGCACACTAAACAACACAAGACATGTTTGTCGAGTTATAAAATGAATAGAATCTAACTGTCATGTTCACATGTTATATTGGTTTCATTTAACTCGTTTATTTTATAGGGAACTCAACAAAGGCTCGTTTGATATGAAATTAACAAACTCATTTTGATAATTCAATATTACACGACTACTCGCGTTAGTCCCTCTATTTATCGTATAATCAGTACTACGTTTTCTTTGTTATCTGATCTATTGTGAATCCTGATTACATTCACAAGCTCAAAGGATGTTTGCCTGGCTTTATTTATTTCTTTATTTCTGATGAATCTGTTTTGTTCTAGCATTTCTTTTTGCTATTCAAAAACATTTTATCCACACTCGGTAGAAGGATGGAAACATAGTGGACAGTATGAAGTCGACTTTCGGGACAACCTGCTGCAGACATTGTAAAACCTCAACAAGGTCTTACCACAAATCTATTGGAAAAAATACAAACAGTACAGTTTTAATTTTGAGTGATAAGTCTAATACTGACATTACCTTTGACATTCCTTTAAATATGTAAATAAATGACGGGCATTAAATGGACATGTAACATAACAGGCAGGTAGGAAGCCGATAGTTCAACGGGAGATCACTATGTATTGATAGCAGTTGTGTGTGTTATCTCGCCAGTTGAGTAAGGAGCGGAGGAAGTGTACGCCGTACTGTTTTCATACCCCTTTCAACGAAGTAAGGGGGAATTATGCCCCCCCCCCACCCCNTCAACATAAATTTATTAAACATAACTGAGGCAATCAGCACATTCTGGAGTTTTTAACCTACTATTAAAATATCATGCCCGGTTTATTTTACTATAATTAGCCAAAATATTGTCCAGTTCTGTACTATTACCCCTGGATTAACTAGATTCGGCATGTTAGTATATCTTAACCCTAACATGAAAAAAGTACAAGAAGTATGTCACTATGACCTATATCCTGAGATACTTGTAGGTGTACAAAGAAATCATTACCGGTGGGGAACTATGGATTGCTTTGCAATTCTTTCCGTTCATTTATAAACGTTCTCAAAGAATGGCGCAGGCAGGGTTTACGACTGGCATTCTGGCGACAAAATAAGTTATCCTGGTGACAGCTAGATATCAAACAATCGTTGTAATAGTTATAAAGGATGCCTTGTATACGATATGTTTATACTGAACTGACTAAACCATACAACTGTAGGTGTAAACGAAGCGAGTAAATTTGCCCGTCGTTATTTTGTTGATTACATGTTGTATGTACAAATTCGAAATTTGTAGAAACTGTTTTGTTAACCAATCAAAAATAAAAATGATTATCGTTCAGTATCACTGTATGAGTCATGGGCGGATTGGTCGAGTGCTTAACACTCTGGCCTTCCATGCAGGCGACCGTGGTACGATCCCCGAAGTCGTCGTACGCATAGATATTCAGAGAAAGTGATTTTCTCCTGTCCACACAACTCCAACAACCGTGCTGGAGTATACATTGGTCTGGGGTGGACGTTGTGGTATCTGTGCTGTAGCATTCAAGTGAGGTGGCATTATAAATGATGCCTGTTGGAAGCACTTTCCCACTACAATCAGAATACATTACATCTCCAGCTCACACGCAGATATACACACATAGGGAGATATTAGCCAGGTGGCATACGTCTAATAGTTAGCGCCTAATAAGGCAGCTCCTGCGAATTCCTCAAAATTGTATTTATTAAGGTATATATGCTTATTGTATTCAATGTATATGTATGTACTGTAATGTGCTCTAGAGTGGATTGTGTTCGCTAGATAGGGCGCTATATCAAATGCTACATATTATTATTATATTATTAATTTAAAGATATGATTAAATCTCAAAATGTTCTTATACAATTCTGCCGAGAAAGAACAGATCTTCTCTTCATAGCTATTTGTGATGGGTTTGTGTGTATGTACACCATGTATAGGAATTCTCATATATATACATATAAGTCTACACCCACTTGGTGTATAGTGACCGTACTATAAAATGACTTTTCAGCTTTTAACATGGGCGACCGTTTGTTCTACTGTGATTTCGACACAAGTGTGTGTGGAATGACGTACTCCTCCCCGACGTCAGATCTCCAATGGCGACGGGAAAACTGGGTGGTCCTTGGACCCTACAAGGATCATACTTCCGGGAAAGGCACGTTCCTCGTTGAGGCAGACAAAGCTAAGGTAGGCTGATTGTATTTGGGGGTCGATGATGGAATTGTGATGAGAGTTTAGGACGCATCCCTGCTGATCGCAATCGGATGTAACGATATTTGTATTCAAAACTACACACTCACATATTGTTATCGAAGGAATCCTTTTCATTTTTAACTCACCTTGCCCCGAGGGTCTAGTGAGCTTATGCCGTGGCGCGGCGTCCGTCGTCCGTCCGTCGTCAGCTTAATTTTAAACGACTTCTTTTGAATAACCAAAATATGATGATATTTGACCAGAAGCATATTGGCATAAAGGGGTTAACAAATTTGTTAAAAAATGACCTTCGCCCATATTGAAGGTCACAGGGGTCAACTATGTTGAATTTTTTAAACTGATATTTAGCCTGTAGCTTTAATTTAGTCCACTTTTAATGTTAAAGTGTGATATTAATACTAGGTGACCGATGCAGGCCCATTGGGCCTCTTCCTTTTAGACAACCACATTGTAAGCAAACCCCGAAACAGTCTTGGATGAATAAACGTAACATTACGTCACTTTCCTTCGATAATGTAAAAGGGGGAATGATCCACATTGAACATAGTAAGGTCGAAAAACGCATTATGAAATTAGGGATTAAAAAAGGAAGTTGAAAGTTTTACCATAATGCATATATTTTTAGTAGTATAGAGTATTGCTGAAAGTATCATGTGGTATTACTGTAGAGGGAAGGACGAACTCTGGTAATCATATGGTATTACTGTAGAGGAAAGGACGAACTCTGGTAATCATGTGGTATAACTGTAGAGGGAAGGACGAACTCTGGTAATCATGTGGTATTACTGTAGAGGAAAGGACGAACTGTGGTAATCATGTGGTATTACTGTAGAGGGAAGGACGAACTCTGGTAATCATGTGGTATTACTGTAGAGGAAAGGACGAACTGTGGTAATCATGTGGTATTACTGTAGAGGGAAGGACGAACTGTGGTAATTATGTGGTATTACTGTAGAGGGAAGGACGAACTCTGGTAATCATGTGGTATTACTGTAGAGGGAAGGACGAACTCTGGTAATCCAGGACAGGGTTGTTTTACAACACACAGACATTTCACCGTAAGACTAGTTTGCTGTATAGGTGTTATTTTGATCTGGTTTTTTTTTATGAAAGTCAGTTTGTTGACATGTAACAATGTTCGTTCAGATCAAAGAGACTATAAAGAGAAAACTCTGTATAATTTATATATATATGGAAATGAAGAGTATTCTGTAATAGTGATATATTTGTAACGGAGGAGTACTTTGCATTATTGATATATTACAGAAAAACGGATCAGTAGCTCAGATGACGAGTCCCGACTTCCAGGTCAGTAGCACCGCCTGCTTGCGGTTCTGGTACTTTGCATACGGCTATCATCTTGGGCAATTCCGGATTTACACTTTGACTGAGGACAAAGATAAGAAGGTCGTATGGACGCTAGACACGAATCCGAAGACTCGCTCCTGGAAACGTGCACAAGTTGAATTACAAAGTCAAGGAATGCTCAAGGTAAACGTGAATATCCCAAAGGAACCACACACTGTATAGTTTGGTCGCTACTAAAGCTAGAAACAGAATATAGATTTAAATGTATGGATCCCGTTCTGGTGTCCTACTAACATAATATATGTATCAATGTTGATATGCTGTGGTATGTATAAAGAGACCGTTATTACGGACTACTAAATATGGTGTTATTCTCCAGGAATCAAGGGCCTTAAACGTATTTTTCATATATTTTTTTATGGATGAAACTTCACATTGTAGTTTTAAGCTCTTAATTTCCGGAATCCATAATCCATCATTTAAGTTTAATATCTACATATTAGTTAATTATTTACTCTAGAAGGCCAATTAGCCTACCATCGTCAGATGTTCGGCTGTTTGAATTATAATTCTTTTTATCGCTATTTCTGTAGGAATCTTTTTTTTTTTCGAATTTTACATGAGATCCTATTCTCCCTAGTTAAGCATATCGAACTTAACGACTGATCAGAAACCTAAAAATGTCGTAAGCGCTATTACTCAGAAAGTACTTTCTTTTCTAAAGTCCACATGAAGGTTCCCCGTGGACGACAGTTACGCATATCAAATTGAGAGAATGATCAGAAAACGGAGATGGCCGACATGAAACCATAATGAGTTCTTTGAGTCGTTGGCGTTATTTCTGGAGGGATCTTTCTTATGGTCCCTTTTTATGCATATTGAATTTTGGGATTAATTGGGAAAAATAAAGATGGATGTCATGCAGTAATCTTGAATTTTGAGAGAGAGTGAAAGTTAAGCAGCGCTATTTCTCAGAAAGATAATTATCAAATGTCACAAGTAGTTGGCCGCAACAATAACCAAGAGAATAACGCAGTGTCAACATCGACCTTCATATCACACAAAGAAATAGCATATTGCCTTATGGATCATGATAGCGACGATAAAACGTGTCCATAATCTTTACCGACCTGTATCTTTGGAAACCATGTGTTGTAAACTCGTCCGTCAGCAGTTCACGAAGTCATGATAGTAGGAGCAAGCTCTGGAATACCGAAGCGACTGCGACATGTAAACACCATTGGTAGGGGAATCATGTATGTTACTATCAAGAAAGGGGACGTTTCCTGTCAGTCGAAATCGTCCCGCTTAATTACTGCTATCTGACAGTTAAGTAGCAAACCGTCCCTGTTGATCATGTTGTAAGTAATGATGGAGGCTAGCAGCCGAGGTAGACGAGTTTGTAGTGTCCGTGAATTCTAGCTCGGGAGGGTATATACGATCAATCTGCTCTGTACAGTTCGTGTCCTTAAAGACACCACATCGTCGATAGATTTCAGTGTGAAATTGTAGGTTTTGGCTAAGTTTTCGTTACCAGTCCTGATAAGATCCAAACTCAACCTATTCATTCTGGACTTTGTTGTACTTTCCACAAAATAGGCTCCAAAATAATATCTACAACCACATTTATATCGCCGTTCGCCTTTCTTAAGAAAAAACCCCTCTCATAATAAGAGAACAAATGCGTACCTTCAGTTTGGTAGACTTGATTGTATAAAGAGTCGAAAAATCTACAGTTTTGAAAGATTTTCAAGATTAACAAATTAAACAAGTAGGAAAAAGTGATATGTTCAAATATAATAATTTGTCATCCCTGAAAAGTGAGGAACAAAATAGAATATATTGGAATGATAAATAAATCAACCTTAAGAGTGTTCGGAGCCACTTTTTTTAGAGGCTTTAAAATGATCATGACTCTGCATCATTTTGAAAAGGCTTGCTACTAAGAGTACGAATTCACATATAACTTCATCTACACCCAGAGAACAATGATAAGCTAATATAATATCTGAGATATTGATTTATACCGGGCATATGTAAGGAAGGACTGACAAGGCAAAAGATAAATGTGAAGGAGAGATAGCGGTATATTGTAAATCTTCAAAATCCCACTTCTAGAGTATCGGTGAAGTGATTTTTAATCTAAATTGGGCTGAAGCATCATTGGGCAAAGGGAATTTCCGTGAAGGGTGACCCCCTCACACCGTGGTGGTAAAAGCGGCGGGGCTCTGAAAAGGAAGTATAGGTAAGTTTTTAAAATCGTACTTATTGAATGTGGGAAAGGCCACCTGTCCTGACAGCACAACCCTCCCTTTAAAGCTTGTCCTTAGCAGCCTCTTCCCCTTGAATCCCATTAAGAAAATGTCCTTTTGAGACGTAGCTCGTGTATGTTCCGGGTCGTTAGATAAAATCTCATCTTACACTTATCCATCTGTTTAAGGGATTTATCTTGTATTTTTGCTTTGATACTTTAAAAAAGTGTTATTTCTATTACAGTTGATTATGGAGGTGACAGCGAGTGCTAAATGGGGAAACTATGCAGTAGATGACATGGAAGTCACCATAGGAACGTGTTAGGTCAAACATGTGTTTGTCTACAGGGAAATCACCATGGCAACGTGTTAGGTCAAACATGTATTTGTCTACAGGGAAATCACCATAGGAACGTGTTAGGTCAAACATGTTTTTGTCTACAGGGAAATCACCATGGCAACGTGTTAGGTCAAACACGTGTTTTTCTACAAGGAAATCACCATAGGAACGAATTCGGTCAAACACGTGTTTGTCTACAAGGAAATCACCATGGAAACGTGTTTGTCTACAAGATAATCACCATGGAAACGTGTTTGTCTACAAGATAATCACCATGAGAACATGCAAGGTCAAACACGAGTAAACACCCCGTGGGAACGTGTTAATGCTTAAACAATCTTTCTGTGATATATTTAAAAAATACTGACAGAGAATATATTTTCTACATATTTATTTATTTTCAAATTAACCTATTTTTACTTGTTAAAGTGGTGAGAAATACAATTTTGACCCATTATTATGTGTTTGTTTTAATATCATTTTCATGTTTCTTCATTGATAGGAGGCAAGCCAGTCCTCTTGTTTACTCAGAAATTTTCACTCGTTACACCTGAATTGTATTTGTAAGTATCTGTAACATAGAACAGCGATAATCTGTACGTACAGCAGTGAGAACAGCCTGGAGGAAGATGCACATTAAACACGATCAAAGTACTATAGCACGTGTCGCCGAGGAGAAATAACTGGACACCTTTTCAATAAGATTCATCAGTTTGGAAGTATGTTATATCAAAGTTTTACTTTATACACAAACAATGTGCGTGTTAAATGTGTCAACATTTCCAGACCGACTGGTCCCATTGTTCAAGCTATGAAGACCAAGGGACAGGTAGGTCTTGAAACGTTGCGACAATATATAATTTGGTACCTCGTAAAAGGACATGCATAGTACATGTAAATCGTTATTACGACATACCGATGTACCGATGTCGTTATTATGAGATAACTTTGTCGTTATTACGAGAAAGCTTTGTCGTTATTACGAAGTAGCTTTGTCGTTATAACGAAGTAGCTTTGTCGTTATTACGCGGTAGCTTTGTCGTTATAACGAAGTAGCTTTGTCGTTATTACGATGTAGCTTTGTCGTTATTACGATGTAGCTTTGTCGTTATTACGATGTAGCTTTGTCGTTATTACGATGTAGCTTTGTCGTTATTACGAAGAAGCTTTGTCGTTATTACGAAGCAGCTTTGTCGTTATTACGCAGGAGCTTTGTCGTTATTACGAAGCAGCTTTGTCGTTATTACGCAGGAGCTTTGTCGTTATTACGAAGCAGCTTTGTCGTTATTACGCAGTAGCTTTGTCATTATTACGCAGTAGCTTTGTCATTATTACGCGGTAGCTTTGTCGTTATTACGATGTAGCTTTGTCGTTATTACGAAGTATCTTTGTCGTTATAACGAAGTAGCTTTGTCGTTATAACGAAGTAGCTTTGTCGTTATTACGCGGTAGCTTTGTCGTTATTACGAAGCAGCTTTGTCGTTATTACGCAGTAGTTTTGTCGTTATTACGAAGTAGCTTTGTCGTTCTTACGCAGTAGCTTTGTCGTTATTACAAAGTAGCTTTGTCGTTATTACAAAGTAGCTTTGTCGTTATTACTCAGTAGCTTTGTCGTTATTACCAAGTAGCTTTGTCGTTATTACTCAGTAGCTTTGTCGTTATTACGAAGTAGCTTTGTCGTTATTACGCAGTAGCTTTGTCGTTATTAAGAGATAACTTTGTTGTTATGTATTACGAGAACAACATTATGACCTAGCTTTTTTTCTTGGTGACCCTACCGTCTTCTGTACTATATGTACAGCACTGTATTGTAATAAAAAGATACCCCATAGGGATCGTGGCGCCCTTGATCGTACCATCGTAACACTGTGTATTTGACTTAAAGAATTGATAAATGAATTTAAAAGGATACACACCAGACGTGTAACTCTCACTGACAGGATACAGACCAGACGTGTAACTCTCACTGACAGGATACACACCAGACGTATCACTCTCACTGACAGGATACACACCAGAAGTGTAACTCTCATTGACAGGATACAGACCAGACGTGTAACTCTCACTGACAGGATACAGACCAGACGTGTAACTCGCACTGACAGGATCCACACCAGAATTGTAACTATCGATGAAAGGATACACACCAGAAGTGTAACTCTCATTGACAGGATACACACCAGACGTATCACTCTCACTGACAGGATACACACCAGAAGTGCAACTCTCACTGACAGGCTACACACCAGACGTATCACTCTCACTGACAGGATACACACCAGACGTATCACTCTCACTGACAGGATACACACCAGACGTATCACTCTCACTGACAGGATACACACCAGACGTATCACTCTCACTGACAGGATACACACCAGACGTATCACTCTCACTGACAGGATACACACCAGACGTATCACTCTCACTGACAGGATACACACCAGACGTATCACTCTCACTGACAGGATACACACCAGACGTATCACTCTCACTGACAGGATACACACCAGACGTATCACTCTCACTGACAGGATACACACCAGACGTATCACTCTCACTGACAGGATACACACCAGACGTATCACTCTCACTGACAGGATACACACCAGACGTATCACTCTCACTGACAGGATACACACCAGACGTATCACTCTCACTGACAGGATACACACCAGACGTATCACTCTCACTGACAGGATACACACCAGACGTATCACTCTCACTGACAGGATACACACCAGACGTATCACTCTCACTGACAGGATACACACCAGACGTATCACTCTCACTGACAGGATACACACCAGACGTATCACTCTCACTGACAGGATACACACCAGACGTATCACTCTCACTGACAGGATACACACCAGACGTATCACTCTCACTGACAGGATACACACCAGACGTATCACTCTCACTGACAGGATACACACCAGACGTATCACTCTCACTGACAGGATACACACCAGACGTATCACTCTCACTGACAGGATACACACCAGACGTATCACTCTCACTGACAGGATACACACCAGACGTATCACTCTCACTGACAGGATACACACCAGACGTATCACTCTCACTGACAGGATACACACCAGACGTATCACTCTCACTGACAGGATACACACCAGACGTATCACTCTCACTGACAGGATACACACCAGACGTATCACTCTCACTGACAGGATACACACCAGACGTATCACTCTCACTGACAGGATACACACCAGACGTATCACTCTCACTGACAGGATACACACCAGACGTATCACTCTCACTGACAGGATACACACCAGACGTATCACTCTCACTGACAGGATACACACCAGACGTATCACTCTCACTGACAGGATACACACCAGACGTATCACTCTCACTGACAGGATACACACCAGACGTATCACTCTCACTGACAGGATACACACCAGACGTATCACTCTCACTGACAGGATACACACCAGACGTATCACTCTCACTGACAGGATACACACCAGACGTATCACTCTCACTGACAGGATACACACCAGACGTATCACTCTCACTGACAGGATACACACCAGACGTATCACTCTCACTGACAGGATACACACCAGACGTATCACTCTCACTGACAGGATACACACCAGACGTATCACTCTCACTGACAGGATACACACCAGACGTATCACTCTCACTGACAGGATACACACCAGACGTATCACTCTCACTGACAGGATACACACCAGACGTATCACTCTCACTGACAGGATACACACCAGACGTATCACTCTCACTGACAGGATACACACCAGACGTATCACTCTCACTGACAGGATACACACCAGACGTATCACTCTCACTGACAGGATACACACCGGACGTATCACTCTCACTGACAGGATACACACCAGACGTATCACTCTCACTGACAGGATACACACCAGACGTATCACTCTCACTGACAGGATACACACCGGACGTATCACTCTCACTGACAGGATACACACCAGACGTATCACTCTCACTGACAGGATACACACCAGACGTATCACTCTCACTGACAGGATACACACCAGACGTATCACTCTCACTGACAGGATACACACCAGACGTATCACTCTCACTGACAGGATACACACCAGACGTATCACTCTCACTGACAGGATACACACCAGACGTATCACTCTCACTGACAGGATACACACCAGACGTATCACTCTCACTGACAGGATACACACCAGACGTATCACTCTCACTGACAGGATACACACCAGACGTATCACTCTCACTGACAGGATACACACCAGACGTGTAACTCTCACTGACAGGATACACACCAGACGTATCACTCTCACTGACAGGATACACACCAGACGTATCACTCTCACTGACAGGATACACACCAGACGTATCACTCTCACTGACAGGATACACACCAGACGTATCACTCTCACTGACAGGATACACACCGGACGTATCACTCTCACTGACAGGATACACACCAGACGTATCACTCTCACTGACAGGATACACACCAGACGTATCACTCTCACTGACAGGATACACACCGGACGTATCACTCTCACTGACAGGATACACACCAGACGTATCACTCTCACTGACAGGATACACACCAGACGTATCACTCTCACTGACAGGATACACACCAGACGTATCACTCTCACTGACAGGATACACACCAGACGTATCACTCTCACTGACAGGATATATACACACCAGACGTATCACTCTCACTGACAGGATATATACACACCATACGTATACATTGCAACTCTTATTGAAAGGATATACACCAGAATTGTAACTTGTAACATATACAAAAGAGTTGGAGATCCAAAGTCCGCTCTTGACATGTTCAAAGAAGTTCAGCATACAATAATAAATTCAAAAGAAGAGATAACCAGACAACATCAAAAGGGGAGACTCGGCAACACCAGGATGCTAATTTGCTACAGCTATATTTATTTTGACATAACCTTATGTTTTCAAATTAATTGTACACGTTAAATTGGTGTATTATATATATATGGATGCGATAAGAAACATTTAATCAGTTAAAACGACAATGTAGGGTAATAACTTATTTTTACTAGCCTTATGCATATGGTAAATGTACGAATTTAAGAATCCGCTATTGGTGGTTTTATGGTCATTGCTGTACGTGTAGCTATATAACTGTATCAAATTATTGTTAAAATATTAAGAGGAAACCAGGGAAGACAATCAAGCAACAAATATCTATAAGACTAAACGAAATATGTATCCTTTAGTTGTGGAACACGTAGGAAAGCCCTTTTACCACTTCTTGCCCCCATCTACCGTTAATTACGTAGCCTTGCTAAAAAGCCAGTCGTATATTATCAGGTTATATACTTTAGGGTTCACTGTTAAATCTAACCCGAGTTTCCTCTGACCCTAACACCAGACTTAGACATTTTGACATATATATAGATGTATGGTGAGGGCTCGCACCAGACATCTATGTCAAAATGTCTAAGTCTGTTGTCAGGGCCAGAGGAACCTCGGGCTATGTTAATCAGAGACGTATTATCTGGTTTAATCTAACATGTTCTGATGGAGAAGGGTGTCGTGCCGCGTCATGCACATGCATCTTATAGAGAGTATTAATAGACCAGGGTAATACCTGTTGTTAAGACTGTATAACTGGTTACCTTATGGATTAATTTCATTTCAAGTCGAGAGACTCATGGGGCCTGTTCGTTTATGCGGAACAACCGGTTTGTCCGTTTATAAATGTAACAATTTCGGGTATAGTCCCGGCGGACCTGCAAATGTTTATGAAGGCCTTTCAAGGCTTTGTCAAGGCTCGCATGAGAGCAGCATCAGATTACTATGTCCGCCCTTATTTAATAAACGAACAACTGTGGTCCGACCGGTTTAACCGTTTTCTGTGGAATTGGAATCCGGGTCCGGAAACCTTTGTGGCGTTTAGACGACATATATCGACTTCCGCTTAAAAGACAGCAATACATCTTATTATATAATTATCCGCCGACAGAGTGCTGGATCTCTCCAGGGCTAGTAGCCGTATTGTCATCCAGCAGACGGTGAGCAGACATTGCGCTTAATATTTGATGAACATATAAAACCCTTCGGTAACGCGTGATTAAATCTCCTGGGGAAACTTTCAAGTAATCTAATCCGGTCACCCTAATGAAAGCCCAGGTAAGAATGACTGCCCAGAGAGTGTCCAGTGAGGTTTTTGCGCCTCCAGGAATTCACTAAAAGATCTTTTCCGGCTTATTTTTTTCTGATTAAAACATTATGAACCCTTACCTCACAACATGCAAAAAAATCGATCGTACCGGTGCAAAGTACAGAAATGCACTATATGCAATGCAAGGGAAGTAACTCTTATAGAAATACTAGTCTAAAACTCGCAGCACCGCACATTTACATGTGAAATTATTATATTGGAAAATCGTTTAATTGTTTATTGCGACATTATTACATTAATTATGCAATTATCTTCTACAAAAATATTGCCAAAACATGTATTTAGTAGAATATGTTTACCAGTTAAATTAAAATATAAATTGTGGACGGTGTATGTTTATAGCTCAATGATGCAAATATTATTTAATGATATAAATAGGGAAGTGATTAAATAGTAAGTTTTATGACTGCATGGTGCTAATCCCCAACACTGATTGGAGGAGCGACTTCATGCGATGAGTCTGTAAATATGTTACAGACCTCATTCTATGAAGAGAAAAGTATTACAGACCTTGACCTATAAATAGAAAAAGTGTTACAGACCGCTACAAAAAAAGGCCTAGGTAATTTCCCTGTCAATCAGGGATAGATCGAAACTGAATTCCACACTTGATTTATGATATGACATTTTACAATGAGATTGCGCCTCGGTGAATATTGTTCAGGCCAAGTCGTAAATCAGGGATAGACCGAAACTGAAGTCCACCATGGTTTTATAATAAAATATGACATTTTACAATGAGATTGCGCCTCAGTGAATATTGTTCAGGCCAAGTCAGTTAATCAGGGATAGACCGAAACTGGAGTCCATGATTGGCATTAGTATTTAAAATGTTACATTGTACTTTGAAAAATAAAATATTTATTCAAAACGTTAATTGACAGTCAATAGTTTTCACATTTAATACAATATAACAATAATAGAAGGTTAATCATATTTCTATATAATAACAAAAGTATAGTAAATAAATAAAACTGATATTCCTATAATTTAGATAAAGAATGTTAATTCAGGAATGATAAAATAAAATTATTGTGGCCAAAAGTATGATTATAAATATTTCATAATGTCAAATGGGCAACAATTACTACAAATATCATTTTATTACATAAACTAGACTCTTTTGTGGAACATTTTTCTTCGAAGTGCCAGGAACATTCTTATAGAGCTATGCGTTTTTAAAATAATGGCCAATAGTTGTAAAGGTAAATCTTCATGAGTTACTTCCCCTGCCATCATTGACAAACAAAATCTGGGTAATTTAATCAGTAAATTGTAATATTTCCACTCATCCGATCAAACTCAGATTTTGCATGTATCTAAGTTATGACATTTAATGTAAAGTGAAAAAGAAATAAGTAAAAAAACTTGCTGGACAAGAAAAAAACTGGCTTGGCACTCATTTCTACCCTAGAACAAAATCTGCATAATCAAACTGAAATTTGCCTGTAGTTAGGTAATGACATTTACTATATAAATTCGAAGAAACCTGGCTAGGCACTCTTTTCAATGCTGAGCACTGATTAGGGTGACATGTAATTTAGCGCGGTTTTCGTTGAACCGCGGTGTATCGTTACAGCCTTAACATGTATATTAATTGATGGGAGTCGACTGTTGACATGCTACAAGAAAGACGACGTAACACAACTTGGGTCAGATATTGTCGACTTGACGCAGAGAGCAAAACATGGAGCGCTGACATAGTACCTTTTCAGTTGAAAGCTTAAAAACAGTCGCTACTTCTCAAGCGACCAGTCGTTACTTGATAGATGGAATCATGGAAGTAGAAAGTTGGAGATTTTTAAGTTCCTGTTAATGGTAAGCCTAATGGTAGGACAAAAGGGAGAAATAACAGTCTTGGGTTAATTTTATGTACACTTGTGCATCTATTGCACCACAAAAATGCAAGTTATATAAAACACCCTGCTTTTTTATATTTTGATTAACAAAACAGGGGAGATAACTACATCAATCTAACCAATACCGTTATGATTGGTCAATATCAAAAAGTGATATTTTCACACTGAAAATATCACTTTTGATATTTGTCACAGTGTGAAAGATATCAGTTTTATCAAGTTGATAGATCCCGATATTTCACTGGCAAAAATGTAATAAATATGAAGGAAGGGCACCACCTACCTACATATATATAGGGCACTATAAGGGGCCTCTCATGGGAGCTTTTTGGATTTCTTTCTGTTACTGATTCTTTCTTATATTATGATACAAACTAATGAGAAAGGTGGACAGATTAAGTTGTAGTAGGTATTACATAATGAGAATTGGTTTTAAAAGGAAAGGTAGAATTACTCCCATTCCTCCTGATCTAAATTCCTACTGACAGGTGTTTCACTCTAAAACGCTTTACAACATATGGATAATAGTAATAGTTAATATTGTGAAACAAAATAAAGGCTTACAATCACTTTTATACATTTAAGTAAGCAATGTGCACATAATGGAACAAATAAAGGGTGGCGTTTACATGACGTCTCTTTGCAGACATCCTAAAATGCAGACGTGAAAGGCGAGTTTTGATGTCCCTCTTGAATTTGGCCAGGGTATTTCACTTCCTTATAGCAGATGGTAAGCTATTCCACAACGTGGCCGAAACCCTCCCAAAGCACCGGTTTCCATAGGTCACAGTACAAGATTTTAGGACACACAACAATGATTCTGACTCCGACCGCAGTGATCGTGATGGCTGATACAGGGTAACAAGCTCCTGTAGGTACTGAGGAGCTGTTCCATTGAGTGCCTTGTATGTGTACACCAGAATTTTGTACTGCGACCTGTCTCATAGAGGTAACCAGTGCAACGAATAAAGCACAGGTGTAATGTGCTCTCTCTTTCGAGTACGAGTAACCAGCCGTGCTGCAGTATTCTGGACCCTCTGCAGATGACTAGTTAGTTTGTCAGATATACCACAGAGCAGGGCGTTACCCTAATCCAACCAAGAGCTCTAGGTAACAAGTGAATGCACCAAAATTTTGCATGCATCTTCAGTTATAAACTGCCGGATACAGCCGATGTTCCTGATCTTGTAGTAACAGGATTTAGCAATAGCGTTCACTTGTTTCTCCATGTTCAGTGAACTATCAAAGTATACCCCTAGGTTTTTAACAGCTGGGACAGTCTCAATAGTTCTGGAACTGACCTTGAGCTGGAGAGCCATTGTTTGCTGACACTTTGGGGAAAAGACAATTAGTTCCAACTTTTCCTGATTAAGCTTTAGCAATTGGTGGCGTTCATCCAGGTACTGATATCTGTCAGACAAGTTTCCAGATTTTCTGAGACGGTATCCCAACTGTCCTGTGGATTGATGACCATGTAAATTTGTGTGTCATCAGCATAGCAATGATAGCGAAGACTATGGCGACGACAAATCTCTCCAATCGGTTTCGGGTACAGGCAATATTTTCGTGGTCCTAACACCGACCCATGTGGAACCCTGAAATCTAGTACGACTTTGTCATGTGAGGTGGTTGATTCGATGACAAAAACAACATAAAGACAAATGTCTTACTATTTTACCAGTAGTCATCCAAATACTTTCATTTCAGGTATAAAGATGTCAGTTCCAGAAAGTTTCCGACACAGAGAGATGGTCAGTAACGAGGACAAGATTACCAGAGGCAGTGAGGAATTCTCTGTAGTGACGTACAACTTACTGGCTGCCTGTCATGTTCCACGCTGGGACTATAGCTACACAAAAGCTGACCCCAAAACACTGCAACTGTCCTATCGTCATGAAATCCTAATGAAGGAGGTCATATATCTTGATAATGATATCATTTGTTTCCAAGAGGTTGGACCAACATACTGGAAGGAAACACTAGAGGCAGATATGAAGAGGTTATTTATTTATATACTACGTACATGTTTCAATTTTATAATTGCTACAGGTAATTTGAATTTTGTGACTTTTTTTCTCTTTCCTTATGTATGTCACAATTATCTGCAATATATAAAAATTAATTATGGAAATGAGCATAGCTTGGGAAGTGAATTGCAGATAAAGGCTATACATGTACATTAATTGTTTTTATGTTCATGTAGTCTTTTGCCATTAGATGTACTGATTTCAAGTGATTGTATGACAGATATTATGATTTCCAAGATGAAAATAGGTTTGCTACAGTTCCTGTGTCATTGTCTGATTATTATATAACTCTTTACAATTAATTGATTTTTACCATCAAATATAACATTTACAATATCAGTATAATATACTGATTCCTTTGCTATTGATTTTTTTTACATCTTCTACCCATTAAACCTTTTAGATTAAGTTTGACATATTTCTTTTTAAGTGTTGTTTGACCTCAAATTGTGAAATAGCTGTACAACAGTATATATAAACAAAACAATTGTAACCTCAACAATGTTGGTGGTCACTAGATTAATTTACACAGGTAACTCAGTTTGTTTGTCCATCCATTCCATCTTGTTATCTATTTTACCTTTGCTTTCTCCACCTGATATTGTGCATCCGGGTATTATTTTTTTCATTCTGACCTTTTTATGGAGTTATTGCCCTTTGTTGAAAAATGCTTGCCAGCTCAACTTCTCCAAAACCACTGGGCCAATTTCAATGGAAGTTTTCAGATATGAAAACTAACACCTGATGTTGTGCATACTTGTATTATTTTTTCAATCTGACCCTTTTTCACGGAGCAATGGCCCTTTGTTTAAAAATACTTCTACAGACAACTCCTCAAACACTATGCTACCAATTTCAGCAGAACTTTTCACATATGATAACTACCACCTGGTGTTGTGCATCCAGGTACTTTTTTCCCAACCCTTTTATGGAGTTATGGCCCTTTGTTGAAAGATCCTTGTCCTGACTTCTCCTATTCTACCGGGCCAATTTCATAGAAAGTTTACAGATATATTAACTGCCCCCTAACGTTGTGCATCCAGGTAGTACTTTTTCATTCCGACCCTTTTAAAAGGAGTTATAGCCCTTTGTTAAAAAAACCTTTGTCTGTTTCCTAAACTACTAGGCAAATTTCAATGAAAGTTTACAGATATGGTAATTACCCCCTGATTTCTTGGATCAGGGTAGTACTTTTTCAATTCTACCCTTTTTAAGGAGTTATGTCCCTTTGTTAATTTTTTTTCCTAACATCTCTTCCTTAGCTACTGGGATAATTTCAGCAAAACTCGTTCATCTGGGCTAACAAGATTTGGTTTGCAAATATGTGTTGTCATTGGGAGGGAGTACAGGAAGTATGTGAGTGACCTATATACTTATATAAGTGTTCAGCTCATCCAATAAAGAAATCATTACTGAGGGGCGACTATATATTTAGCTTACAGTTCTGGTTTATATAGGAGCTGGGGTATTATAAAAGCCTTTGGCTTACAGTTCTTGTTTACACAGGTTGAGATATAGAAGTATGATTACCTAGTACCTATATACACACATGTTAACTTATATATTTACACAGGTTGAGATATAGGGGTGTGTTTACCTACAGTTGTTGACTTATATATTTACTCAGTTTGAGATATAGGGGTGTGTTTACCTGCAGTTGTTGACTTATATATTTACACAGGTTGAGAATTAGGGGTGTGTTTACCTACAGTTATTGACTTATATATTTACACAGGTTGAGATATAGGGGTAATGTTCACCTACAGTTGTTGACTTATATATTTACACAGGTTGAGAATTAGGGGTGTGGTTACCTACAGTTATTGACTTATATATTTACGCAGGTTGAGATATAGGGTTGTGTTTACCTACAGTCGGTGACTTATATATTTACACAGGTTAAGATATAGGGGTAATGTTCACCTACAGTTGTTGACTTCTATATTTACACAGGTTGGGATATATGGGTGTGTTTACCTACAGGTGGTGACTTATATTTTTACACAGATTGAGAAGTAGGGGTGTGTTTACCTGCAGTTGTTGACTTATATTTTTACACAGATTGAGAAGTAGGGGTGTGTTTACCTGCAGTTGTTGACTTATATATTTACACAGGTTGAGATATAGGGGTAATGTTTACCTACAGTTGTTGGTTATTATATTTACACAGGTTGAGATATAGGGGTAATGTTTACCTACAGTTGTTGACTTCTATATTTACACAGGTTGAGATATATGGGTGTGTTTACCTACAGTTGTTGACTTATATTTTTACACAGATTGAGAAATAGGGGTGTGTTTACCTACGGTTGTTGGTTATTATATTTACACAGGTTGAGATATAGGGGTAATGTTTACCTGCAGTTGTTGACTTATATATTTACACAGGTTGAGATATAGGGGTGTGTTTATCTACATTTGTTGACTTATATATTTCCACAGGTTGAGATATATGGGTGTGTTTACCTGACTTATATATTTACACATGTTGAGATACATGGGTGTGTTTCCCTACAGTTGACCTATGTATTACCCAGGCTGGGGTAAATGGGGGGGTTTACCTACAGGTGTTGACTTATATATTTCCACAGGTTGAGATATATGGGTGTGTTTACCTACAGTTGTTGACTTATATATTTACACAGGTTGAGATACATGGGTGTGTTTCCCTACAGTTGACCTATTGTATTACACAGGCTGGGGTACATGGGTGTGTTTACCTACAGTTGACCTATTTATTACACAGGCTGGGATAAATGGGTGTGTTTACCAACAGTTGACCTATGTATTACACAGGCTGGGGGACATGGGGGTGTTTACCTACAGTTGACCTATGTATTATACAGGCTGTGGTACATGGGTGTGTTTCACTTCAGTTGACCGATGTATTACACAGGCTGTGGTACATGGGTGTGTTTACATTCAGTTGACCGATGTATTACACAGGCTGTGGTACATGGGTGTGTTTACCTTCAGTTGTTGACCTATTTATTACACAGGCTGGGATAAATGGGTGTGTTTACCAACAGTTTACCTATGTATTACACAGGCTGGGGTACATGGGGGGGTTTACCTACAGTTGACCTATGTATTACACAGGCTGGGGGACATGGGGGTGTTTACCTACAGTTGACCTATTTATTATACAGGCTGGGGTACATGGGTGTGTTTACCTACAGTTGACCTATGTATTATACAGGCTGTGGTACATGGGTGTGTTTACCTTCAGTTGACCGATGTATTACACAGGCTGGGGTACATGGGTGTGTTTACCTATAGTTGACCTATGTAATACACCAATCTAATTAAAATTATATCTTCACATCGCTCCCGTTTACTGATATGACGCGTTGAAGATCTTACAACATCCCGTAGGGGGTCACGTCAGAGGTCAACATGAATACATTTTCGCATTTATAACAAGCCAATCAAAACGCGACATAACTCTTTCATTCAACCAATCAGAAAGCAGGACCTGTAGCATTTAATGCAGACACCTCTTAGCCCAAAATCCACTTTTTCGTCTGGTCCAGTGTTAGTTTGAATATTGCGAAGCCTGTCATAGGTTAATTTTAGTTGCAGGTTGTTAAACTTTTTAACGACAACATCACCAGAAGAGGAAGTCTCTCTTATCTCAAAGCAAAATCCACAAACTGTACAAACGTTGTCTTGTAGATCGACACGGCGTGGTGTCATGGGCGCCGCCATTTTCGATGCTCATTTGACACCTCTCGGTCTTTTATCATAGCAAGTGTGTTCCGAAATCATTAAATGGTCACTTACAGAAATGCGTAAGCTCTAATCTGATTGGTTAATGCAAAGGTCGCCTGAACATGACCCTCTACGGGATGTTGTTAGATCTCCAACGCGACATATCGGTAAACGGGAGCGATGTGGAGATATAATTTTAATTAGATTTGTATTACACAGGCTGGGGGACATGGGGGTGTTTACCAACAGTTGACCTTTGTATTACACAGACTGGGGTACATGTGTGTGTTGACTTACAGTTGACCTATTTATAACACAGGCTGGGGTACAAGGGTGTGTTTACCTACATTGAGATACATGGGTGTGTTTCCCTACAGTTGACCTATTGTATTACACAGGCTGGGTACATGGGTGTGTTTTCCTTCACTTGACCTATTTATTACAGAGGCTGGGGTACATGGGTATGTTTTCCTACAGTTGACCTATTGTATTACACAGGCTGGGGTAAATAGGGGGGTTTACTTACAGTTGACTTATTTATTACACAGGCTGTGGAAATTGGGGTGTTTACCTGCAGTTGACCTATTTATTACCCAGGCTGTGGCAATGGGTGTGGTTACCTTCACTTGACCTATTTATTACATAGGCTGGGGTACATGGGGGTGTTTACTTACAGTTGTCCTATTTATTACACAGGATGTGGCAATGGGTGTGTCTACCTTCAGTTGTTGACCTATTTATGTAGCATTTAATGCAGACACCTCTTAGCCCAAAATCCACTTTTTCGTCTGGTCCAGAGTTAGTTTGAATATTGCGTAGCCTGTCATAGGTTAATTTTAGTTGCAGGTGTGTTTACCTACAGTGGACCTATTTATTACACAGGCCGGGGTACATGGGTGTGTTGACCTACTGTTGTTGACCTATTTATGTAGCATTTAATGCAGACACCTCTTAGCCCAAAATGCACTTTTTCGTCTGGTCCAGTGTTAGTTTGATATTGCGAAGCCTGTCCTAGGTTAATTTTAGTTGCAGGTTGTTAAACTTTTTAACGACAACATCAACTTATATTTTTACACAGATTGAGAAATAGGGGTATGTTTACCTCCGGTTGTTGGTTATTATATTTACACAGGTTGAGATACATGGGTGTGTTTCCCTACAGTTGACCTATTGTATTACACAGGCTGGGGGAAATGGGGGGGTTTACCTACAGTTGTCCTATTTATTACACAGGCGGGGGTACATGGGTGTGTTCACCTACAGTTGACCTATCTTTTATATTTGCACAGGTTGAGATATAGCGGTGCGTTTACCTACAGTTGTTCACCTATGTATTACACAGGCTGTGGCCATGGGGGGGTTTTCCTTCACTTGACCTATTTATTACATAGGCTGGGGTACATGGGCGTGTTTACCTACAGTTGTTCACCTATGTATTACACAGGCTGGGTTTCATGGGTGTGTTTACCTCCAGTTGACCTATTTATTATACAGGCTGGGGTGCATGAGTGTGATTCCCTACAGTTGGCATATTTATTACACAGGCTCTGGCAATGGGTGTGTTTAACTTCAGTTGTTGAACTATTTATTACACAGGCCGGGGTACATGGGTGTGTCTACCTACAGTTGACCTATGTAATACACAGGCTGGGGTACATAGGTGTGTTTACCTACAGTTGACTTATTTATTACACAGGCTGTGGGAATGGGTGTGTTTACCTTAGCATTTAATGCAGACACCTCTTAGCCCAAAATGCACTTTTTCGTCTGGTCCAGAGTTAGTTTGAATATTGCGTAGCCTGTCATAGGTTAATTTTAGTTGCAGGTTGTTAAACTTTTTAACGACAACATCAACTTATATTTTTACACAGATTCAGAAATAGGGGTGTGTTTACCTACAATTGACCTATTTATTACATAGGCTGGGGTACATGGCTGGGGTTACTTACAGTTGACCTATTTACTACACAGGCTGGGGTACACGGGTGTGTTTACCTACAATTGACCTATTTATTACAGAGGCTGGGGTACATGGGTGTGTTTACCTACAGTTGACCTATTTATTACACAGGCTGTGGCAATGGGTGTGTTTACCTTCAGTTGTTGACCTATTTATTACACAGGCTGGGGTACATGGGTGTGTTTACTTACAGTTGACCTATTTATTACACAGGCTGTGGCAATGGGTGTGTTTACCTTCACTTGACCTATTTATTACACAGGCTGGGGTACATGGGTGTGTTTAGCTACAGTTGACCTATTTATTACACAGGCTGGGGGACATGGGTGTGTTTACTTACAGTTGACCTATTTATCACACAGGCTGGGGTACATGGGTGTGTTTACCTACAGTTGACCTATTTATTACACAGGCTGGGGTACATGGGTGTGTTTGTCAGGAAGAAGGAGGACAATGACTACTATGATGAAGGGTGTGCCACGTTCTGGAAGAATACAAAATTTACTCTGGAAGAAAAAAAAAAGTTCTACCTAGGGGATGTAGCAGGCAAAGTATATATATCTACCAATACACAAAACATTATGTACTCAAAAGAAATTTCATCAGGAAATTATACATGTGTTAGTGTGTTTGTGTTGAGATAAAGAAGGGTTAACCCACACGTTAAGCTACATATATATTACCACTGTCAATATTTTAATCCATTTCAAAAAGAACTATTCCATAAAAAGTACATTTGTTGCAATGTTTTTACAAAATTACAATTGTTTGAAATTTGAATTTTTCAAAATACAAATAGGCTAGTAATTTAGTAATAAATATAAAAAAAAATGCTGCGGCCAAACAAATATGACTGCTAAGTCTACACCTTCCAGTAATACTTAGTGAATGGCACCAAATGGGAGTCCAATCTCATTTTTGTGCAAAGTCGATGAAAATAAAAATTACATTGAAAGATACATAACTTGACTTGGAAAGATACTCTAAGCCAAGATGCTGGCATGGAGCGCTATGATGTTTGTAAAGGAAATGGTCTTGACGTTATCTTAGGTAACAGTGGTCAAATTTACCTGGTAAACACACAAAACGTCTTCTTCTGAAGGACTGAAATGCCTACAGTTATAGGCCTGTAAATTGCTGGCATGCAGTGTTACAAAGATTGTAAAGATTGGCCGCTGTACAGGTACATATTATCAGGGTTTGAGGTAGTTGTTTACTTTAATTTCCTCGATCTCGCTGTGAGTTGAACACCCTTTCTAATTTTGTTAAGATAAAGGATCAGATATCAAATTATTCAGTTCATAATTCTTAATCAAAATCCTCAGTAAAAGAGTATTTCCACAGAGGCAGTATACATGGTATAAAGTGAACTTGTAGACTTAAAGATCTATTACTAGGAAAAACGTACATTCAACAGAAAATATGAAATAAAATTAAGATCTTACATTTGTTGTATCTGTAGATTATGGAGAGTTTGAATCTCAGTGATGATCCAGAAATTACTAGTCTCTTGAAAACTCGCTATATTGACCGCGCAGACATACTGTTGGTGACAAAACTGAAGTCAGCTGTGTCCGGAGATGTGGTGGTGGTGGCTAATACGCACATTGTCTGGGGGACCGAGTCCCTCACTGACGTCAGAGCTCTCCAGGTGAGTCAACAGTCTTGGAACTCTATAGCAATGTACTCATTTTGAGCTTAAGGTAAACTATTTAAACAGTTTTGTAATATAAAACAAAATTTGTAAGACTAAATATGGCATAAGTTTTCACATGTAAATTCAGCTTCAAGTTAGAGTTAATTCCTTTAATTATTATTTGTGTTATTTGGAATAATGGCCATCAAGCTATCTGGGTCATTTTGACCAAGTGAAAAATCTGTTAAGGAGGCATGAAATCACCGTCCCTGTCTCAATATGTACCTTGACAGGTACCTACTGAGACAGGGATGGTTTGTATTAGACTACACAACTTGACAGGTTCATACTGAGACAGGGATGGTTTGTATAAGACTACACAACTTGACAGGTACATACTGAGACAGGGACAGTTTGTATTACACTATACACAACTTGTCAGGTTCATACTGAGACAGGGATGGTTTGTATTAGACTACACAACCTGCCAGGTTCATACTGAGACAGGGACGGTTTGTATTAGACTTCACGACCTGTCAGGTTCATACTGAGACAGGGATGGTTTGTATTAGACTACACAACCTGTCAGGTTTATACTGAGACAGGGACGGTTTGTATTAGACTTCACAACCTGTCAGGTTCATACTGAGACAGGGATGGTTTGTATTAGACTACACAACCTGCCAGGTTCATACTGAGACAGGGACGGTTTGTATTAGACTACACAACTTGACAGGTACATACTGAGACAGGGACGGTTTGTATTAGACTTCACAACCTGTCAGGTTCATACTGAGACAGGGATGGTTTGTATAAGACTACACAACTTGTCAGGTTCATACTGAGACAGGGACAGTTTGTATTAGACTACACAACTTGACAGGTACATAATGAGACAGGGACGGTTTGTATTAGACTTCACAACCTGTCAGGTTCATACTGAGACAGGGATGGTTTGTATTAGACTACACAACTTGTCAGGTACATACTGAGACAGGGATGGTTTGTATTAGACTACACAACCTGTAAGGTTCATACTGAGACAGGGACGGTTTGTATTAGACTTCAGAACCTGTGAGGTAGATACTGAGACAGGGACGGTTTGTATTAGACTATACAACTTGACAGGTACATACTGAGACAGGGATGGTTTGTATTAGACTACACAACTTGACAGGTACATACTAAGACAGGGATGGTTTGTATTAGACTTCACAACCTGTCAGGTACATACTGAGACAGGGACGGTTTGTATTAGACTTCAGAACCTGTCAGGTACATACTGAGACAGGGACGGTTTGTATTAGACTACACAACCTGTCAGGTACATACTAAGACAGGGACTGTTTGTATTACACTATACACAACCTGTCAGGTACATACTGAGACAGGAACGGTTTGTATAAGACTACACAACTTGACATTTGAATATTTATCATACATTATATGTGTTATATCTGGGAAGTAAAGGAGGAATGTTTGAATAGTTTACCTCAAAAATTCTTCCCACATGTGTCATGGTTTGATATTGGTAAGTGTAGATTGGCTGATTGAGAAGGAAGAACTTGTCTCTGACTTCAGTTAAGGTTGTGCCCCTGGTCTTTCTGGATGAGGAGTCGTGGCAGGAAGAACAAAAATCTAATGTTATAATCACCTGTTGATGGTTCTCTGATATCCATTCGTTAAGCTCAGTCATATAAAAAATCATCAAGCATTGAAAGGGATGGCCGCAACTAAAGATAAATTGTGTATGCAGGATATGAAATCCCAGTGGAATCCCACCAAGTTCAGAATTCAGATAGGATCCTGGCAGAATATGAATCCAGGCAGAAGCTTGGCCGGTTATGAAATCCTAGTGGGATCCCAATGTGATGCTTACCCTTGATATCCTTCAAATTTCTATAAAATCCAAGTTGGGAAGCCGATGAGATCGGTCATATTTTCTCTTGGGTAGCAATTGTTGTAGATGATCAACTCCCCATTTTAGTAAACATATATAACCAGCCGGTATGACTTCATTGTAGTGTAGATGCTCCAAACTATGCCTGTCTCGGTATATAGCTGACCAGCCTTACTGCTGTATATTCTGCGGAGATTTCAACTCGACGCCAGAGTCATTAGCCTATACCCTTGTCCAGGGTAAGCAGCCAGAGGGTGATTTAGAACAGGCACTGAAACCAGCATTGGATGACCAGAAGCTTAAGGTAAATCGTCAATTTGAATGTCTAAAATATCAGAGTTGTCCTTTACAATTTCAATGGATCTTCATACAGTGAGAGTACATTAGATTCAATAGATGATTGCATCAGTTAAATAACAGTCATTTTATTTCAGGTGTTTCCTGCTTTCCAGAGACTCCTTGAAAGTTTCCCAACTGATGATCTATCATTACAGAGTGCCTATAAGAGTTGTGTGGTCAGTAACATTTCATTGACATTTTATACGAGCAGGAGTTAGGTTGTATAAAGGTTGTTTAAAAGCTAGGGGCCAAGAAGTTGGGCCGAGGATGGGTAATTTGGCAATATTGCTTTAAATGGCTTTATTGTGTATAAGCGATTTCCCCTCTAAAACCAATAGATGGATATCAACCACATTTTATTTCTCCGTTGATGGGGATTCAAAATTTTACAAATGAAGGAGCTGACCCAAGGGGCTGAGGGGCAGAGCAATAAGATGGATATTTTGGCAATATTGCTTTAAACAACATCTTCTGAAAAATTGATTGGAACTTAACCAATTCAACTTTAAGCAATCTTAGGCAGAGGGAATTTACAATTGTACAAATCGTGGGGCTAACCCCCAAGGGAGCTGAGAGGCGGGACGGAAAAGAGGTATTTGGCAAAATTGCGTTTAAAGACTTCTCAAGAAATACGAGATGTATTCCAACCATTTGTTTTGCCATATTGCTTTAAGTGACGTCTCCTCTTGAATCATAAGAGTGATACCAGTTAGAAACAACCTCAGTTGGTAAATTTTGAAACCAATTGAAGGACTGAACACTGTTGCTGATGGTAGGGGCAAAAATGATGATATGACTTGGAAATGGTCGATACTCCCATTTAATAACTGACAGATGCTTAGTGTAAAGAGACGAATACATGTATGCTACCAGGATGGCTCTGGGCTCAGCCCCGCCCCCTCCTCTGGATATTGAGTCCCTGGGCCCACTTGTATAAAACATCTCAAAGTTAAGGAAAATCTCAAGCAAATTGTATTGTCTATGGGAAATCTTAGACTTGAGGAAATCTCAAAAGTTGAGATGTTTTATACAAGTGGGCACTGGGTCATAACTTTGAAATGATTGAGATTCCCATCCAATAAAGTCCCATCATTTTATCAAAAATATGGTCCAAACATCAAATTCATTGCAAAAGAATTTATTAGTCCACCATCATCAGATGTTGGGCTAATCAAATCACCCTTCGTCTGTGGTTCAGTGCTGTCAATCTGTTCATTCACATGTACACTTTGGTTTCTGCAAGATAACTTGCTTAAATAGTGTTAGATTTTGATGAAACTTGGTATGCGTGTACATTATACAAAACCTGAGACTAAGTCGAGTCAAGGAAAATTTGTGTATATCAAATTAGCATACTGTTCTTAGATTGGTTGACAGTTTCTGCACAATAACTTTGTTGTTATTGTGTGTTAGGGTATATATATATGTCATTTTAATGAATTGTTATTTTTAAAAAGTGCCTTAAATCCTTAAAAATTACAAAAAAATAAAATGTGAGATTGTATTGATGTTTAGTTGATATTTGTAGTGTGTACCTGTGAGATGTACAATAGTATTTATTTTTGTTTACTTCAGGGCAAGGAGCCGTCTGTGACTCACTTTGATAATGGCCTTCCATACACGTTTGACTACATTTTCTATGGCTGCCAGTCTCCAGGGAAGACACTGACCAGTTCGTCTGTGATAGGCTTCCCAGAGGTAGACACATGGACACAAACATTCCCTCCAGATGACCACTTTCCATCTGATCACTTACCAGTAACTGGTCTTTTCAGATTGAATGAGAAATAGTTAACCACGTTCAGTGAATGACGTTTCTGTACACAGAGCCCATTAAAAGATACAATAAAAAAACCCATTAAAATCCCTTTAATCTGCCACATTTAATGGTTATCAAATCTTAATTGCTGTGTAAATTAAAGTTCAATTGCAATTAAAAGTAAATCAATAGACATTAGAAAACTTGGGAGACCATTTTAATTGGCCTTAAATATACTTGCCTGATAACTGTTATAGGCATCATGATTTAATTGCAATGAAAATGCCATTTAATGTAGCAAAATTAACATTTTCTATGATATAAAAGGGGTATTTCTCTTTTTCAAAGCCCTTAGATTAAGGGATCTTACATTGTTTATACCCCTTGCAGTGAAGTTAGGGGCGTATATTTAAATCAACTTGTCTGTCCATAGAAAGTTTTTGTCTGGACAACTCCTCCAAAACTACTGGGCAAAATTCACCAAAAGTTTTCAGATATGATCACTACCACCTGATGTTGTGCATTAAGGTATTTTTTCGACCCTTTTTGATGGAGTTATGGCCCTTTGTTGAAAAGCCCTTGTCCGAACATCTTTTCTTAAACTACTGGGCCTATTTCAATGAAAGTTTACAGAAATGGTAATTACCCCCGGAATTTGTGCATCTAGTGGTATTTTTTTCATTCCGACCCTTTTTACTGAGTTCTGCCAAGTTTGATGACCACTTTAATCGGACTATATTTGGCAGAGTTATGGCCCCTTGAATAACGAAAACCGTCGTTATCTGCAGTTTCCGCTTAATAAATCTAGCAAATATTAGCCAAATTCCTTCAAACTTGATAACAATGTTTGTGTTCCTCTGTCTTTCTGCCCATTTCAAGCACTCTTTGGTTTTCATGTGATAATTGCTGTTGATATTGTGCAGATAAATATCAAATTCCGTGTGCACATCCGACTCATGCCAAGTTTGCAAACCGATGTGATTTGTGCATATTTACGGATAATTAATGAAGTTAGTAAATTCTGATGGATTAAACAATTAATTTACCTCATAATACCTACATATTCAATAAAAAGTCTAACGTCTGTATAGGGCTTTTTTTTTCTTCGAGTTTCAATCTATACATGATGTCTCAACAGCACGATACTGTAACCTCAATAATGTTTAATATGTCCTGCAAGCAGGGGATATACCTTCCATTGCCAAAGGTCAACCAAAACATTGAATTATATGATTCCCAGCCCCCCAGGGGCCTGAGGGGCAGGGTCAAATTGACTAAAATTTCAAAAATCTTCTTCTCAAGACCAAGATATGGTAGAGTCAAATACTCTTCATAGATGGAAGGGTCTTAAGGTGCTTTACCAAAATTGTGAATTTTATGACCCTGGGGTCTATGTTTTTCCCCTGGGGAGTGGGTAAACTTTACTTTAGTTTAATTGTGAATTATATGGTCCCCAGCCCCCAGGAGCCTGAGGGGCTGGGCCAAAAAGGGTCAAATTGACTAAAATTTCAAAAATCTTCTTCTCAAGACCAAGATATGGTAGAGTCAAATACTCTTCATAGATGGAAGGGTCTTAAGTTGCCTTACCAAAATTCAGCTGACTGACAGAACCACTATTTGTACATAGTACATATACTACCCAGATTGTTCACACTACTTTTGCATTACATGAAGTTCAAGTTACCTTTGTTACAAAATTATTTCTTTTTCATTTGGCAACATGGATAACATCAGTTTTTACATAAATCAGGTGACCGTTAAGGCCCATGGGCCTCTTGTTTAAAGTAACATGTACATATAAAGTAACTATTTTAATAATATATATAGGCATGTATCTATTCTTAATTAAGTTAATGTATATATATTTATTTTATTTTCGATTTTTCGTCCAGATCTGCCAAATGATAGTTAATAATTATAATATACACATTTGTTATTGGGAAACATGACAGATATTACATTGAGTTGAATCAACATGTAATATCACAGTGGATAGCAGGAATCATTTTGGAGTTTGGAGCCAAATTTTGAATACATCATTCATGTACAACTTATATATAAAGGGGCTCATTAACAAAGTTATAATATGTAGTAATAGGTTATATGCATGGATTTTGTTATATATAGCAAACAATTTGGACAATTGCTTGACAAAACAGTAAATATGAACCTTTTATTTTCATGGGATGAATATTATGGTGTAGTACATACATACTGGTATGCATTTTTATCTTATATTAATCAAGTGCATTTTGTTATTAGTTTTCATAACGCCATCTTTTCATTTCCAGATATAAGTATGTATACACAAGTCCAAACGGATGTTAATATAATGATCCAATAACTCAAGATCAGTAAAACATGGGACCACAGTACACGTAGGATACCTAGTTTTCCTATGATGGTTGACTTGTTTGGATTATCGTAAACAATATTTACAAATTTGGTCAATGTGTGCAGCATTGCTACCAAATTGTAACTGGTTCTAATAAGGGTTTTACTGATTGCGCTATGATTTACAGAAACAGTGCATAAAACGCAGCCAGAAAACTTGTAAATAGTTAAATAAATGACTACAAACATGCATGTTATTGTCTCTTATACTCATGTATAATTTATGGACAACAAAACATGATTATTATTCCAGTAAAAGTTACATTCCGAGTATCACACGTATGCTGTCAGTACAGGTATAATAAATGTATATAACCAGACGAACTCTGTTATTTGTTTTATGTTGCTTGAAAAAAATCTAAAGGTACCAGCACTTTTGTCATGATCTTTTGATTTGGAAAAAATCATATTGGACCAAAATATCGATTTAAAAATTCCTTCTACACGTCCAAAGTAATAGAACCCCGGTTCGTTGAGTGACAGGAAACTGTTAGATACTCACTATTACCAGACACAACACGACAATAATAGAAGCCCGGTTCGTTGAGTGACAGGAAACTGTAAGATATAGTTTTACCAGGAAATATTTTGAAAAAGATCCCGATAGTCAATATTAATTATGTACTTGGAAACTGGAATTTATCTCGGATTCATGTTTTCATATACGATTTCAGTTTTTCTGTGAAGATTGTTTTTCAATTAACATCAATAATTTGATGGTTCAATATTGTGCTTCGTTTCGGCAACTTCCAAACACAATACGAAAAATCTGGGTCGACTTCGAAATCTTTTGCGCAAATTTTCCTTGATTCAGCAACCTTGAGAGGTATGCACCGTTTGAGGTTTCTCGCCGGTTCTAAGTTAACAATTGATGTTTGTTTTCTGTAATATTGCCCAGAATATCTCCATCAGTACGAAATCACGAAGATCAACGTGTTTAGTAATTCTCCGTCTAATTTGTCCTGCATTGCTGCTGGACTACGGGTATTTGTGTCTGTCGCTTTCACATTGGTATTGCACGCTACAGGTCTAGGGTTCACTTTCTTGGTGAACACGTATACACGTACATTGTAACCCGGCCTTATCTCCATGTTATAAGTGACTTAACCATGGGACCAGAAAGTTTTTACATAGCTTTGTTAGTGCAAAATATTCTGTTAATGTTTGCAAATCACACCGTTACTTCAGCGCAACATCAACATTTTTTGTCTTTTGGTCAGAAATAACTATTCACTCTCCAAGGGATAAAGTGTTATTTCTGTCGGTGAAATACATACGACGCTGCCAAGTGTTTATATTATATGACAACAACGCATCCGAGTTTTAAAAGGTCGGTTTCATGGAAAAAGAATTTCTTTTCCCATGTCTTTTGCCAAAAAGGTAATTCCGTTTGTTTGGAAGCGTTAGACAGTCTTCGCGATGATTCTTTTTTCCTTGATGCTAACTCTCTTTAATAACACCTTATTTTACCCTAGAGGATTCTGATGTGGAGGGGTTGCCGATTTCCATACACCTACAGCATTTAATATACTAAATAATTTTGTTGTAATTTCATAAAATCCATTTCATGTAACCTATACTGTCCCTGATGTAACGTACACATAAAATGGCGTTAACGTTTCATGTTAATTCAAAGCACAAGGTACCAAAGGGTATTGTTGATATATGTTTTGTATGCTATGTGAAAAAAGTCTTCTTTACAACATTTCAACAGAGAGCTCGTTCTGTAGAACAAAAGTTCAAATTAAGTACACAAGTATTAGAACAGAAACAAAAAAGAGGTTTCTTTCATTATGATAACAGAAGTAGCATGGCATTGCTGTATTTAACTTTTGTATCTCCTTTTGATGATAAACCGTTATTTATGTTCTGTTCTTGGTATTTTTCATTCACAACTGCCATTAAACAATTTCGTAGAGTAATAAGTAGCGCCACTATGTCCATTTGTCAATCAGAATTCGTTTGGCTCGTAACATCCATCCTCGATACTCCAGGGGTTACACTCTCGTTCGCCCTCTGCACTTCTGGAATATGTCGTAGCAAAATCGAAGGATCGCCTTGTGGATGAGACGAGAAAAACTAGTTACATCCTTTGGTGTACATCAATAGAATTTGTCGGTCGCGTAACGGCACCGTTAACTGGCTTTGGAGTCGGGTGTCGCGCCTCTGTACTCTTCAAAGGACATGTATCAGCTTAGCGATTGGTCAGATTTACTTTACCTGAGACCAATCAAATAGCTTGTCGCGTGCCTTCAGTTTTGCTATGAAATAGTACAGGGGTGCAGAGAGCAAAGGTGAGCGTAACCTATCGAATATCAAAGATGGAAATACCTGACTCGCCGGATATAGCTCATTGAAAAGGGGTATATGATGCATGTGTTGTACGCTTTAATAGGAGGGTCCATATGCCCAAGGTGAATCCATCAGTTTCACTGACTTTCTTGCTTCAAGCTAACTGAAAATTGAGTATGCATCCAATGTCTGTCAGTTTTGTCAACATAACCCAAATTAATAAGGGTTGCCTCCCCTGTTCTGCAACAATGCGTTCACCAAGTAATATGTTTTAAGGACAGATTTACCTTCAAATGAACACCATGTTTGCGTTTAGTTTATGTCACAAACAATTGATTTATTTTTCTTTTGTATATAATAACATGGAGCAATTATGTACACAGCTTCACCTTTGTCCTTAGGTCTTGATAGGACGTTACATCCCAATACGAACAAACAATCGAATTTGACACCACCTATCTTTGAGATGTTTTTTAGTCTCCACCCCAGCCCCATCGCTACTAGCAGAGAGGACTATAGTTGTGTAGTCTATTTGTCAGTATGTGCATCAATTCTTCCGTATCATACATTTAACAAATTTTCTGTACAAATCACACAGGATATACCATGTTGAAATCGAAAAATGTGCCCTACTGTCACTGCGCAATATAAATTAAAATCTTTCAAGAAAGATTCATAGGTGTCGAATAATGCGGGAATGGTCAGCGCATTTCCTGGCAAAATTATGATCTCAGATAGCGAGGGCGCTCCGGGTGAGACCTGGTTATTCAATGCCTCTCCAGAAACGGAAAAAATGGGGAGTAGTCGGTAGCCCTGAAATCACCATGGATTTCAATATTTCCTGTGCTGCGAACGTTTATTCCTTCGATGGAAGCTTCCCATCCCTCTCAGGGAAGCATCTGTGTACACTGGTATGGTAAGAGCTAGCTTGAAGAAGAAGAAAAAATAGAAACAATGCAAACTCCTATTTGTTCAAAGGTCCCCGACTTCTTTCAGAATTAACCCGATATGTACATTTATCAAAAGTATAAGTAAAACGTTGTGTAGAGGAGCAC